TATATTTGGAGTTTGCATGTCTCTCTCCCCGTGGTCGCGTGGATTTTCTTCCGGGTCCTCCTGTTTTTCCTTCTACGTTTAGAAACACGCGTTTAGAGGATTTGGCTGCGTGAAATTTCCACGTGATAAGCTACTTCGCTGAGCTATAATTTGTGGTTAAGAAAAAAGCAAGAAAAATGGTTTAGTCCTAGGTTCAAATCCAGGCGGTCACCTATTGCCTCTAATAAACCGCAGTTGCTTGTAATAAACTGGATTTGCAACGGTAGAAAAAACATCGCTCTCATTTTTGTATTTGGATTGTCAACCAACACCGGGTAAAACAACATGTGCACCTATTGTTCTCTTTTAGCCCCGCCCATCCCCCCCAACACGTTCCATTCATTGGCTACCACATTCAGATAAGCCCCTACCCCCCCCTTAACTTGTATTTAAGAGCTTGTCTCTTGGAATTTTGCCTCACTTGATACAGTAAATCTTAGCTGTGACGGTCCCACCTGATGACGGAGACTTGTGTTGCCTCCGAAACGTCGTGATTTATTATTTAATTTCTATTATTATTTATTATTATTTATATTTACCTACGTGACTTTACCGAAAAAACCTAAGAGTAGAAAAAACATCACCCGACAATCATTCCTTTCTGTGGCAGAGCAAGTGGAAAAGCGCCGCTACACACTGTGTCGACTCGTAGAGGCTGCTTGAAAGGATTTCTGAGATAGCTCTGCGTCATCGACTTCTGTGGGCTCTTTTGTAACGTGAAAGGCGACACTTCGCCGCGAGACATCTGGATGGCTTCTTCGTCAAAAACGCCCATAGCAGTTGGGATAGAATTGGGGCAAAAGACGAGGGGTGGGGAGTGACTTTGTGAAGTAATGTTGGCCACTCAGTGATTGACAGATAAAATGGAGGTACCAATGCATTGCAGACAACCACTTGCCTTGCAATGTTGTACCTGAAAGAGCCAGTACAGCATAGAGCTGCATGGTGGGTAGTAGAGGCAGTGCAGATGCATTGATTGCATTGTACTTATATAATTCCGTGTCGCCATACACAACGACGAACACTGACCAGCGTGGTGAAGTATGGTCAGTCATCCTCACGACTGACGTGGCGATGGGGAGGTCGTCATCTATACTCTTTGGTTTTTTCGGTAAAGTCACGTAGGTAAAAATAAAATACAAAAATAACAACTTTTTATATTTCGATTTAAAGCTTTCGTGACTGCAGGGATTCATATTCTTGGTTCTTTCGGTAAAATTCTGTATTATATTATTATATTATTTTATTATATCATTTTATTATTATATTACTTTGTTTTATTTTTATTATTTCCCTTCTACAGCGACTTTACCGAAAGAACCAAGAAGATGAACTTTTTATATTTTTTATTTTATTTCTCTTTTTATTTTATTTTCACCTACGTGACTTTACCGAAAAAAATCAAAGAGTATGAATCCTTGCCGTCATGAAAACTTCAAATCTAGAATTAGGTCGTCATCGAGCATTGGATTGACAAAAGAGCCGGACACACATGTACATTTTCAGCTGAAATTTCTAGAAAGAATAAATCTTAGCCTGTGAACGTGTGGTTGATGCGTTTCTCCTGAACGCAAGATGCAGGTTCTCAAAGGGCCCTGTTGGGAGCACTGGCATCGTGGTGACGTACTTCACTACGAACCCGGTGACCCGAGTTCGATTCTTGTTCAGAGCCAACCGGTCCCAGGGCCTCCCCAATCTCAACTCAAAAAGAGTAAAATTAGTACCTGGTGTGGTGCAAACATCAGCAATGGGGAGACAAAGGCTGCTGGCCATCCACCCCCCCGTGTGCCGTGCCGGCCTTAATAGGTGCTCGCTAACACTTGCCCCAACAGTCTGTTTGCAGGTATATTGGGGGGGATATTTGTCTTTGAACACACAAGGTGACCCCACAGATACGAGTTGTCAACTCTCTCGAACCTGAAGGACTCCAGCACGGGATATTGATTTTTAAATTAAAAAAATAATTATCTCATCTTAAGAATGTGGTAAGATTGAATGTTTTAAAGGATGATGGTCTAAATATGTCAATAGTTCCTGGCTTATATGAGCTTACTGGGGGGGTCAAAGCAGTCAGCCATACATTGTGCAGTGGTTAAGCTTTGAGCTGCACGGACAGGTGTTGCCATGGTTATACGTCACAATGATATGCTGTACAAAGTTGTTGGCATTTCGGAGAGTGACATAACACTATGTGCAGAAACACAGATATACATGTGTAGTGACGCAGATCGGAGACAGTAATACTTGGAGTCATTTATTTTATTAAACAAGCACCATCGGGATAACACACACACACACACCCTACTTGGGTGCACACTATTATTATTCTTAGGTTTTTTCGTTAAAGTCACGTAGGTAAAAAATTTAAATTAATAAAAGTAAAATAAAAAAACCCTAAGAATATGAATCCTTGCAGTCACGAAAGCTTCAAATCTAGAATTCACACTTATTATTAAGACCGTCTATTGTCGACGGCACTACTTAGTTAGAACAGTTGGTAGGCTATCTGACTAACAGCACCCCGGGATCGTGAAGACGTACACGACGACGAGATGGCGACGACGATGATCTTGAACAGCACGACGGGGATTCCACTTCCAGCAACAGCCCCGAGCCTCCGCTCAGGGCCCCCTCTTTTACTCCCAGCGTGGCCTTGTTCCGCCCCGGCCACGCCCCCCTTCTGGAACCTACTAGCGGGTTCCCGGCGCTCCCCGATGGGCCCCTTCTGTGACCTTTCCCCGAGATTGTCCCCCTATCGAATATATCGTGGCCTGCCGACGTGAGTACTGCCGTGCACTGCAGTTACCCTTTTCCGCCAGCAGCCAGCGCTATTCCACTACATGTTCGGTTTTTAAAAAGTAGAAAATATCTATTTTTGATGTGCCCAACCAAGAACTCTGCATTACAATCGATGCCCTGGTGGGAGATGCTAATAGTTATAACTGCCAGTGAACGGCGGCATCGACGATGAAAATCGTACAAATATAGCGTTAGGTTTTCTTTGGGTCTTTCGGTAAAGTCACGTAGATAGGTTCAAAAAAAATAACAACTACGTTTCGATCGCAACACAAGCGGTCGTCTTTATCGAAAGACCCAAAGAATAGGAATTCCTGCAGTCACGAAAGCTTAAAGTCAAGATTTAACGTTGGGTTGTACAAAAAACATTCTCGGTGTTTACTTTAGTGACTTTGCACCTGAGGTGTGGACTCGAGTCATGTGACTTGGACTCGAGTCAGACTCGAGTCATGAATTTGATGACTTCAGACTCGACTTGGACTTGCATAACAATGACTTTGTCCCACCTCTGAGGTGTGGACTCGAGTCATGTGACTTGGACTCGAGTCAGACTCGAGTCATGAATTTGATGACTTCAGACTCGACTTGGACTTGCATAACAATGACTTTGTCCCACCTCTGCTTTGCACTGCTATATAAATTAAGACGTGGAATAATCCATAAATTCATTAATATACATATCTCTGCTCATCAAGTTTCAAGGTTAAGAAGGTATGTTGTTCAAATAGTATACTAAATGTTGTATGCAATGGCAGTTCACTCAGCCTGTCATAAAACGAGTACAACTTTTTACAGAAGTCAAAAGTAGTTGGCCTATGACTCCGCTCCCTGCCATAGGAATTTGAAATTTCCACCACTGGCTCCGCTTCAAATACCACCCGCCGATGACATTCGTTATGACTGGGAATTGAAAACGGTTCACGGGGTTCATAGCGCAGTGCACCAACCAATGCACCACCATGCCAACCCATTTTCCTTGAGCAAAAATGACAGTATATTAACTCGGACAATAACCGTTAACATATCCTCCCCTCTTTCTGATGTTGAGCAAAGTCAGACATCACCCCGCTGGAAGGATTATACAGTGGTAGCCAAACTTATTGTTTAGCAGCACATGGCCAGTATACTGAGATGTAATGGCTTTTAGATGCGATACAAACCAACATCGTATTGGTAATGAGAAAGCAGCCGGAAAATATTGGTGGAAGGTAAATGCAGCCCTGAAATTGTTTGCTCATTCTTAATTATGGAGCTTTCGTGACTGCAGGAATTATTCTTTGGTTCTTTCGGTTAAGTCACGTCTAAAGATAAAATAATACATTACAATAAAAGCATATTACGACGTTTCGATTGCAACACAAGCAATCATCATCAGGCAAAAAGGAATAGCAACAAAAATCTAACTAGAAAACTATAGACAGACATACAAGCAGACAGACATCACAAGGACACACAGAGAGAGGACACATATCGACACAAAGAGAGGGGTCGTTTCTGTGACGGTCCCTTAAATATAGATCGGGGGGCAGGGACGGAGAGAGGGAGGGGGCAGAGAAAATTAGCATATCAATGAGTGGCAAAGTGCTGCTGCTGCTGCTCAAGTAAGATGACGACGTGGCACGGCACGCAAGCTTGTAAATTAGGAGAAAGGCACACTAAAATTAAATAACCTCGCAAAATATCGAAATGTGATGTAATACAACACAGAGAGTCTCATGCAACTGCTGGTGGTAGGGGTCACCACTCAGAGAGCGAAGCTCAGGATATGCCTCGTGCAAGGCATTTTCAGCCAAATTCTACTTTCCAGATGTCTTGGAATTGTCGGGAGTTACTCACTCTGTACACGACAAGCAAACCTACCCAGTCTAAATTCATATTGGTTGGAGCCTCCTGATTAATGTGTCCATCCGTCGTGCAGGGAGGGGCTGTGTGGGGAGGGGCTGGGTGTGGAGGGAGGGTCTGGGTGGGGAGGGGCTGGTCACCCCGTGGTGCCCTTATAAAACTCAACGTTTAACCTACTCACGCCGGCTTGTGCTCGCCCTCAGTCGGGCATATTTGCGGAATACACCACGCCGCCGTTGACCCTGGCCATTGACCGAACAACCCAACGTTCCTACCAGCTCCCTTCGCAGGAATGTGTTTTTTTTTATTAAACAAAACAGATCGGGACATTTCAAATTCGGAGAGAATGTAACATTTTATTTCACACATGCTGTACAAATCCTAAATACAGGGGACTTTTTTTAAACAATTAATAAAGCGATATGTCTATGTACAAGCTTCAAGGTCGACAACGTAGCAGGAAATGCACTGTGAATAAAAGAGAAAAAGGTACCAAGACAAATAAAAATCATAATATAACATCTGAAGAAAAATACTTGTTGATTAAATCCCATTAAAGCACGCACAGGGTTTCGAAAGCCGCTGTCCATGTCCTCATGCGATCAGCTTTAGTGCTGTTGCTCGTCAGGGCAACGTAAGATTAATTAGGCCTAGTGCTTTAATTACGATGAAGGCACGGATCTAGAAAGTAGTAGTAATTGGTAAATTTATCGATTAAATTTAAGACGTCAACAAAAAAATATGTATAGAAGGCCAATGACCAGGTCCAAATTTGGTAAAGAAATGGTGCAGGTTTTGTGCAAACTGTGAAAAGTGTTGCTGTTTTGTGTTTTAATAGAAAGAGCTAGAGTGTGCATCATGAAGAGCAATAAAATAGAAAACAATTAATTTGCAAAAACCTTTTCATCTATACAAATATACAACACTGTTATTTATCTTACTTTCTTTCCTATTCGTTTTTTTATACACACGCTGTACACGGATTTTAAAAGAGAAGTCCGTTTGTTTTTATTTCAGCATCGTCGCGGACCTCCGTGCTTTTCGCGACTTCCATCGACGCTTGAGATCCAGAACAGGGAAAACCGTTGCTCTTGTAAAGTCGTCCTTCGACTGGCACTCCGTTCACTGCCAGAGGGACATTGTAGGCCTGTAGTGTTGTTCAGTACCGATGTGTATTGTTCAAAAGAGTGATGTTGCAACTGAGGTAGGGGAAAGCATTTCACAAACTGGCTGCAACACTTCGTAGTACCGTTGTTGTCTTGGAAATCCTCTCCAACTGTGAATTCATATTTCCACGTTTTTAGAACATGTGGCTAGTCTTGGCGCTATTCAAGTCGTACAGCCTTCCTATCTCTGCTGAGCAGTACCATTAGTCGTGCTAAGCAAGTACCAGCGCAAGTACCGACAATTCAGGGGTCACGCCCTTTGACGTACAAACACTTTCGCAGGATGCCAAGTACTGTTCTTGCTTGCATCGCGCAACCGTTGTGACACAGGCTTGCTGTGCTTTGCAACGCTGAGCTCACACGTACAACTGAAGCCAAAAACTTAAGAATAAGTTACCATCCCAAGAATCCTGGGCCAGGGTATGGGGAGAAACATATAATGCTTTCTTTCTGTGCAGTTTGACAAACCGTGTTTCCTGCGTCATTGCAAATAAACGGCAGCGGCGTTAACAAGTACCAACTTGCGGTCACGTGACGGCAGCTGTTTACAGTCTTAAGCCGCTTAAGAGAAGGTCCGCTACCCATCTCTCTCGGTGAGCACGATGGGCACGGGGTGCTGCACGTCAGTCCACGTGTCCGAGACGCGGCTCGCCGGCCGCTCTACGTCTTGATTCGTCTCGGTTGTGGCTGCGAGGCTTCCCTCGTTCTCTGTCCGAGTGGTTCGCTGCGGCCCGTCGTCTCGGCGGCTGGGGGAACCGCCGCCGCTGCTGCCGCCACCGCCGGAGCAGCGACACCGCCGTCTGGGAACGGTGGCTCCTCGACCTGACCCCCGGGCGGGGGCTGGCGGGGGCAACCGAGCGCGTGAGTGTCGGCCGGGGAGCGCCGCACCGAGCGCGCGCATGCCTCTGTAACGTTGCACGCACAAGGAAGGAGAGCGATGTTGGAACGGTTAGCTTCGCAAAATCAAAAGTGTGAGATTTGCGGTTCATCTTCGCCCAAAACAGCCAAAAGGTACCGCCATGCCGATTAATTATTCCCACCCTTCCCCACCCGCTGTTGGTGAAGGGTGCGTCGGTATGTTTTGTCCAACATTTTTACCCACACTAATTGAGCCATAGGGAGGTGCTTGCCTTTTATAGCTGCTCTGACCCAGTGGTGGAAATTGCAGTCTTTCCCAAAGCAGAGCCATTTCTGACAGTACCCACAAGTGCAGGGCCAGCACAACCCACATGGATAACTACTGCACTGTCCTTGTAGAACCTATGTTAATACACTGTCCAAGGTACTCGTTTTAAGGTGGAGTCAACTTAGGGGAGATCCAGTTTAAATTACAATTGAAGGTGGATGTCCATCAGGAAATCTAATCCAGGTTTATGGGTTTTGCAGCAAAATTCAACACCCCCTTAAGCCACACACGCATACACAAACCAGTACTTCCTATGCAAGTAAGCTGACAAAATGGTATGCAGAATATTTAAACACTCCAGGGTCATCAAAAACATTATACTTGGTTCTCAAGCAACGTCAAGCGTGATTAATACCGCGGCTAAAAATATCTGACCCAGCGATGTCCACAGGCGACCATGTTTGTTAATTCATTATTTTACAGGAAGGCGGTGATTAATCAAATGTTGGCTTCCAGCAAAACAAATCTGCTTTCTCCGGCATCAAGTTCATAAACTGTGGTTCAGTTTCCAACCAAGGCTTGTACCTGAACACCTTTGGTGTTTTAAATTGGGACACCCTGTCTGTGGAGCCATTCATAAATAAGAACTTTTTTTAAATTGAAACAATTCCATCCATTCCCATTAGCTGCGATCAACTGATAATTCACAGGACAATCATCTTCAACTGGTTTACTTAGATCGTGACTGTCCCCAACATAGGAATGTGGAATTTCCAATACAGCGTCAAGGTATCCAAAGACGGGCGCTTACCCCCATAATTTGAGGACACTATTTTAGTCATCTTATCCTTCAGGGGTGTAACGTTTTACTATTTGGCGAATGTTGAATTTAGTTACTCATTTTAGAGATCGTGTTTCGTCATTTGAAAAATAGTCGGCCATGTGTGCTGGGAAATTACTTCACCCACTTTTCAACCGCTCACTTTTTGCCGCATACAGAGGCCACTGGGAGTTCCCAAGCTAAACTACAACAGGGCTTTAGAACAATTGAGATGGCATGCGATGGAGAGAGACATTTAGGCACCTGGCTGGATCCAAGAACCCCCTCACACGGCCGTAGTAACCTTGTCACCCAGCCCACCCACCCACTGGCCCATCCCTTACCGTCGGCGCACTTGGATGGGCAGCCCTTCCAGCTGTCGGTAGGCCCCGCTAACCGGTCGTGGTTGCTGGGATAGATGTGGCTGCCATTGCTGGTGGGCGGCGAGCACGCGGAGTCGGGCTGTGGGGCCATCCCGTCGTCCGAGCTCCCCCCGCCGCCGTCCTCGTCTTCGCTGATGACGTCGTCACAGTCGACTGGGTTTCCATTTGGGAGCAGGGCCGCGTCTGAAAAGCGAGCAGACATTAATCATATAAATTAACCGAGTCCGTCCCTCTGCAGAATCACCGTTGATATCCCACAAAGCTGTACTCATGTTAATGACCCCGGACGAAAAGGAATGGATGTGTACGACCCACGACCGGGATTTGAACTGTAGTGTAAGGTTGCGATTGCGAGTGATGCACTTGAACCAGAGAAGCCACGCGCGTACCCCTGGTCATGTCGGCGGCTTGCTGCCTTGCCAGATGGCCCCGGGGCTCCCGCTTGCTGTACAGCACCCTGAGCTCGGCTCCGCTCGCCTGCGGCTGAAAGAGGAGGGGCCCGGCCGGAGAGTCCGCGTCGGATTCCATCTCCACGTGGCAGTGACCGCCGCCTGCACGGACGGAGCGAGAGAGACTCGTCAAACGCACGCCAACGATTTCTTTGCGAGGTACCCGTACAGCGTTGCCTCCTCGCATGCCCTGTGTGTCCTTCGGCTTCCTCCCACAATGCGAAACACCCAATAATAATGTGGCCAAACTTATAATGCACAACGCGCTGGAAATATTATTGACAAATCAGTGAAGCTTCCCAGTTTACTTTATTAGTGACAGTCGTGAAAAATGCAAGGCTGAAAAAGACTTACACTGCTGCGTGTTCTAGTTGACAACCACATGACCAAAGCATAATAATGTAATTTATTTATCTATTCGCTCACCGAGTCTCAAGGCTCTTTTCAGGAGGGTCCTGCACTGGGATGTATGGCCAATTCCTTTTTAACCCTTTCCCGTTATAATGATGTACGTATACGTCATCGTAACTTAACCGGAAGAAAAAATAAAATAACTTTACTGGTACCGAGGCTTCCCACAAGGCCATGTGGGAGAGCGTGGCACAGTTTAGCACCAACTACTATAGAGTGCGGTCGTGTCACTCCAGCTCTCTATTGTGAGTACAATGGCTCTATGCCTCTGAATCAAATTAATGCTGAACCGCTTGTGCATTCCGAGATTACTTTTTTTATTTACTTACAAACGTCTCGGACAAGGAAAGGGTTAAGGAACATTTTGCAAGTGGAAGGAAACCTTGAAGAAGGACACTGTTCGAAGTGTTCGCGCAATTTTAATTGATTAAACTCAAGCATCGTTGCGTGCCTAGTAAATAACAATGGTGACAGCAGTGAAGGTGAGGACATGGTTGATTGCGCAACAGCAAAGCAAAGAATCTGTGTTTGCGTGTCAACTCACCACCACCGCGGTGCTGTGCCAAGTGTCCATTGGGTTGCAGAGCCCCACTGTTGGGCTGGTGGTTGGGACCAACGTCGCCAATCTGCCCCAAGACGTCCTGTCGCTCGGACAGCGCCCCTTGCGATGAGAGGCAGCTGGGCACGTCCGGGGGCACCATCGTCTCATCTGCGTCGTGGGTGACACGCACGGGGGGGGTAAGGCTTTAATCCACTACGATAGGCCTAAGCGAATGACAAAAATCTTTTTGGTTCTTTCGGTAAAGTCACGTAGAATGGAAATAATAAAATTAAAACATAATAAAATAATTCTCACGACGTTGCGGCCACAATGCAAGCAGCCGTCCTCAGGTGGAGAACAGGTCTTTCGAGAAGACAGACCTGAGGACGGCTGCTTGCGTTGTGGCCGAAACGTCGTGAGAATTATTTTATTATGTTTTATTTTTATTATTTTATTTCCCTTCTACGTGACTTTACCGAAAGAACCAAGAAGACGAATCCCTGCAGTCACGAAAGCTTTAAATCGAAATTGAATGACAAAAAGTCACATTCGTCAACAGTACTGCCTTAAAAGGAAACTGTATGTAGAAAAGGTGATGGAATTGGCAATGGCCATTCTTCATAGCAGAAAAATGGAATTATGGATTTGTGAAACTTAAACCCACATGCCTATGAGGTGGGCAGCAGATGGAATATGAGCATGTGGATTCATTAGCCCATCTGTACAAACCCTTGGGGTGTTTATCATCTCATATGCCTGGGTTTAGGATAGTGAAATATTAACAATGAGGCTGGTTAATTTACATTGTTGATTAAATTGTACTTGGCAGTGCTGGATAGATGAAGGTGGAAAGTCCTTTAAATACTGTTTGTTCCCATTAGAGAAAGTGGCATCCAAAAAACAATTGCCACTACACAAACATGTCGGTAGCGAGGTTGTGTGTCCCACATTGGTCAACGTGATTTTCAATCTTCCTTCGTTTAGAAGGCATGGGGGTGGGTAAACTTTGATCACAATTACAGCATTATTCGCTGAAATTACATTGTGATTGTAAATCACATTAAATTATGTAATCACGATTTGCAATTGACCCCAGCTCCGGTGATATAATTGCAGCCCACTTCTGTCAAGTGACAAATGCTCAAATTTGTGATGTACACAAACCTTGTCTATTAGGCGTCATTTACAAAACGGTCCCTCTCTGGCATTAGCGCAAATGAAGTGTGCCTGAGCACACACACAGGCGGGCGAACGCCGTGTATTGCAAAAGTTAATCTATAATTGAGGGTTTGTAACAAAAAAATCAATCACAGCAACAAGCTCGCAGTGTGGCTGTATGTAAAAACATTTGTATTTCATCGTGCCATTACAAAACTGGCTTGGCTGCTGGATTGTGTGGTTAGCGGTGGGAGGGGCTCGTATAATACATCCTTTGTGCAGCTGTAATCTGTGGTTGAGAACAGCCCAAAGGTCTGATATGTAAAAATCAGCCAAGAGGCCTAAATATTTGCTCACCTGTGTGAATGAGAATTCTCCTATTTCCCTCGCGTCAAAAGCCGCATTGAATTGAGTGCGAAATCAACACTTTAAACACTCGCAGAGCCTTATCGTACCGTTGGCACTCAAATCGATGTGTGCTCTGTGGTATTTTCCTATTCTCTTTGTCAATAAGCAGTGTTTGGCGGCTGTTGTACCGACTACCTGATCTAACACCCGTGGGATTCTGAAAGTCCCTTTAAAGTAATATTCCCGTTAATAAGGTTGTACATTGATGATGGATGGTCTGAAACTAACACACACTTTGTTCCTCACTTATAGACTCAACTGGCTTTCCTTAAGGGTTCGTATATTTCAAGCAGAAATAAGTATGGTCTTGATCGTGTATCTAAGTATGCATTTTAATACGTGACTGCAGTGAAGTCAATAGTGAACACAAGGAAGTCAAGGGGCCGACTTTTTATCTTCCCAATGCTAATGTTTACACACTACACCAGGTCCTCATTTGAGTCAACGTAGGGGAGGCCCAGGACCAGCCTAGATATTCGTCACTGATATTGGCCATAAGCGGGACTCAAACTCAGGTCGTCGTTTGTATAGCACAGCGCACGAACCACAACATTACTGCACGCGTACCCACACACACGTTCGTTCATACTCCAAACGGTCTGCCCTGTGACAACACCCACGCGCACCTGGCTGGGTTTACTTTAAATCCAAGAACAGAAATTCCAAAGCTTGATAAACAAAGAAGAGAGATTGCTTGGGTCCAGTGCAGCTGGTTACCTTCCTGAGGTCCCACAAGGGTGAAAAATACTGAAGTTCTCAGAAGCAAATTGTAAAGTACTTAACCCAAGCAAGCCTCCATGGAGTCTGGTTTAAATGGACTTGATTAGGATGGTTCTGATTTGGGATATTAAACCAATTTCCTACGTAGCACTTTTTTTTAGTGAAGGCAGTTGAGCAGTGTCCTGAGGATACCCACTAATATTTCAGGGTGGGGCCTAAATTTCGTACACAGGTAGACAATGCAATTGAACTGCCTAATACACACTGTTGTTAATAATTACAGGTGGATGACTGGTGGACTTAATGTCTTCATCAACCAACCCAAGTCACCAAGATAACAACCGTGAGTCCACCACAACCAGAAAACAACGGTTATAGCATCTGCCTTGCTCACCAGAGCAATTGGGGAGAGCTCATCCCCCTGTTAGTGACCCTAAGCCAAAGGGGGAAGATTCTGCATTATCGTGGCAGGGGCCAGTTTGTTTACGCATAGGACGACAATTTTGTCACTCTGGGCCCGATGCACGCCTTTTTGTCTGATAGGCACAGAAAATGCGCTAATGTCCCTGTCGCGATCATCCGCGTGAATCTGGCGCTTGTCTCGGCTTGAATCTCAGTGGAGAGCCACCGAGTGTGCAATGACCCCAAACTGCAGAGGGGACGACAGTGAAAGCGCTGTGTGTGTTTGCAGCAACGCACTTCTCATCTCACCCGTGTTGGTGGAGCTGTACTCCTCGCTCTTGCGCCGCGTGTGGTAGATGATGATGACCCACACGAGCGAGGTGCCCACCACGCAGCACACCACGGCGATGGTCACGATTCCCAGCACCGTGCTGCCATCGTCAATCTTTAGGGGTGTCGCGGGCTCGCAGTTTGGAGACGGCGTCACTGCGGCACAGAGACCACGCTTAGGTTATATTACACGTCGCGTCCCAACGCTTACTTTACCATCTGTGGCTACTACATCTTATTTCGAAGGCAAGATGCCTATTCATTATTTTAACACTGGGATGAATGTAATGTTGTAGGGGTTTTGGACCATAGCCATGATAGACTGTTGGGGCAAGTGCTGTCTGGTAAGCACCTACTAAGGCCGGCACGGCACAGGACGTGGTTGGTAGCTAACACCATGCCTTGTTGTCCGCTCCCTTACACAGCGCACCAGGTACTCATTTGAGGCTGAGTTTACAAGACAAATGATCCCTCGTATAGCCTCGGTAGACTGTTGGGGCAAGTGCTGTTAGCGAGCAACTATGAACACCGGGTCAGAGTTGACACACACACTCGTGTTGCCTCCACCTTTGAGCACGATGTCTCCCCGCTCCGTGCCGAGCGTGTTGGACATCTCGCAGGTGTAGCGCCCAGCGTCCTCCGCGCCGGAGCCCACGATGATGAGCAGCTGGTTGCTGGCCGTGAAGAAGTGGCGCTCCGTCACGCTGAGCACGCCGCCGTCCTTGGTCCAGGAGATCTTGGGCGCGGGGCTCCCGCCGGCGATGCACTGCAGCACCGCCGTCTCGCCCACCACCACCGTGCGGTCCTCCAGCGGACGGACAAACGAGGGCGTTTCTAGAAGAGAGGAGGGACCGACATTGCGGGTGAATTACGCTCGTAGCGCGCAAGGGTTTGTTTGTTTGTTTTAATTGACCAGATTGAAACGCTTTCCAACTATGAGGTCGAAAGTGTTCATATGCAGGGTCGCAAAAAAAGTCTTGCGAAGATCATCCAATATGAAATAAACTTCGGCGTTGCCGAGTTTGTGTTACACAGATGATCCTGTTTAGCCAGTTGCGGCGCAACAAAAACGCAAGTATCACAGATAACGACTCCATGAATATTGCACAACTGACAAAACGTATTTGATGGTCATATAAAAAAACACGCAAACAAAACCCCAGTGCAACTAAACTCTAAATTTAGTAACAGTAACATAAATACACGTGTGACAAACAGACTGATGTTAGCTGCTGCAACTCGAGTGGCATGGTCAACACCCACTGGACAACAAAGACAGATCTCTCGTGCAGCCTGAGCAGACTTTTGGGGGTAAGTGCTGTTAGCCAGCACCGATAATAACCTAAGGCCGAGTGAACCTAGGGAAGGCCCAGGATCATGGTCACTGGTACTGGTCATAAGCAGGGAAACGAACTCTGGTTGTCTAGTTCGTAGCGCTACGCTACCCAAGCGTGAAGTTGCCTTCAGTGTGCGAGTGTGTGTGGATGACAAGGCCCCCTCACCGAGCACGGTGAGTGTGGCATTGGCGGTGATGGTGCCGGCGCCGTTCTGCGCCGTGCAGCTGTAAACACCCATGTCCTCAGGCTTCACGTCCATGATGAAGAAGACGTCGTCCTTGGGCATGACGTGCATCCGCCGCTCGCGCGCTGCGGGGAAGTCCGTGCCGCCGTCCTTCTGCCACGCGATCTGCGGCACGGGGTGGCCCTCGGCCGCGCACTCCAACCTCGCCTTGGCTCCTGCGCGGATTGTGATGTCCCTGGGCAGCTTGGCGAAGGACGGGAAGACTGGCGGAGGGGGGAGGAGGGAACGGAGATTGAAATTATGCTTAACACGTACACTCCCGCAGCCAGTATTCGCAGTTGTTTTTTTAGTTAGGCCACAATGTTCTGGCCAAATTTGTGTCGTTAAGAGACATTCGCCACCTGACAAAGATAAGAGGACATCATTCTGGAAGTCATTCCGACTTCCTGGATGTTTTTTCTGGAATTGGCAAACTGAAAAAGTTATAATTGACCGGTTACAATTTAATTAGTTTGGCTGTCAGATGATGGAGGGCCCTTAACAAAACAAGCTCACTCCTATTTTTTTTATTGTTTGTCGTAACTTTGACCCCATGCCCCTATTGGACATCTGTTGAAAAAAAGATTCATAGCTCATCAGATTTCTCCTCGACAAATAAAGATTCGGAATTGGCCAAATCATTGCATGGCCCAACCAAAACGGCAGCAAGTCAAGTCAAGCAGTAAAGTTGAATTAGCCGTCAGTAAATAACAGAAAGGTCTACCCCTCCCCCTCTTTACTCTGAAGGACGACAGACAACAGAAATGTTCAAACTGTTGTACAGCAAAAGCTCTTATCCGGTACCCATGGGGAACGGAGGGTGCCGATTAATCAAATATGCTGGCTATCTGAGAGTAATACTTATGGCGCATAAAACTTTTCAAGAAAGAAACTCGGCCTACATTTTAACTATGATATAGGAATTACTGTACTCTTTTAGAGAGGTACTCGCCAGTCAGTTGCAGAGCATCTTAAGTTCATTGTATAGAGAAGCAGTGGGACTGCTTAAGAGTACAGTAAGTACTGTATGAACAGACCGGCGCTACCAGCGTCCTAAAAATTCCATAAACAATAGATCTACGAGAAGAGCACAGCAGGATGTCGTACAGACGTCGGAATTTTTCCGGATACGTCAAGGAAGATTTATATTGCCAGATGCCAGTTAATAGAGCATTCCGGATATTGTCTGTTCTAAGGCAGTGTCGGAAAGTGAGCGCCCAGCCCCTTACTATTGACAGTGAGCTTGGCCTTGTTGGAGTAGGAGGCCCCGAAGTGGTTGGAGATGACGCACTGGTAGCGGCCTTCGTGCTTGAAGTCCACGCTGATGAGGTGCAGCCGCGTCGTGTATTCCGTCACCTCCTCTTCCCGCTCGCGCACCTGGGGGTTGGGAACACGAAGCCGCTCGTTGCCAAGGTGTTTGGGCGCAGAGAATTCTACCTCGGCCCGGTAGTAATCCCAGCAATTGTAGGGGAAGCGATTGTGAGGTGGTGCTACTCATGTGTATAGTTGTGTGGGTGAGAGGCCGTAGCCTTGTCGCGGACCCACCTGTTGTTACCTTAAGCACAACTAATATTGTCGTCGAGACAAACTTGATGTCGTCAATGTGCATCCAATAATTGACGTGGCATCACATTGCAATGTGATCTAAGTTCAAATCCTGAACTTAGTCTCATATACACATTATCATTTACCACTGATGAATGGGTAACATGGTGGTGACGGTGGTTAACCCACTGCACTGTTAAGCCGTTTGTTGTCCTTCCCACGCACCTCAGATGAGCACACGTTGCCTACGTATGGTGCGAAAGAAGTTTAACATACACACGCTCCAAATGAAACTAAAAAGCTGGTAAAGTTATAATATAATGCCGAGTAAGTGGCGGTGGTTAAGCGGGCGAGTGAAATTGAACAGGTGGCCCCATCTCATTCCTTGCGCAGTGCCAACCACGCCATCAGCCGACATACCGCCCCTCTCCTCTTCACCTGTGCGTAGTTTTCGACGTGGCCGTCCGAGATGACCTCGTTGTCTTTCTTCCAGGAGAAGGTGATGGGCGAGTCGCTGCTGGAGCGAGCCGAGCACACGAACGTCACGTTGCTGCCTCGCAGGGCCATGGTCGTCTCAGGCTGGACGCTGATCTGCGGCTTGGGGAACGTGTCTGCACACCCACCGCAGCAGCAGAACACGGGCGAGACACAGAAAGGGATTCACTCAGGGCTGGCTCGGCTCGGCAAAAAACCACCTGTTCCGCGAGGGACGCTCGCTGGCACAGCTTGGGTGAACCAATGTGAGCTCGGAAAATTCAACACGGCCATCCAAGCATTTCTACCTACCGCACATTAACTGAAGCCATTTTCCTGGCTAACTAATCTGGACAGACTTCAACTTGCACGAGTTGTTATTCACCCAGCCACGTGCCGCCGCAAACACTGACCGCACACGTAGGAGTCGGGCTCCACGCTGAAGATGTCCCTGCCCTTGAGCCACTCGGGGTGAGCGCAGTCGGCCTCGATCGTGTCCCGGAAACCGCGCTCCTCCAGCCACGGCGACAGCCACTTGAGGGTGCAGTCGCACAGCAGGCTGCTGCTGTTCAGCCGCCTGTATGGCGTGGGAGATCCGGGAAAAAAACACACGCAAGGGTGGTTAGGAAGGTTTAGTGCAATGAATACTCAAAGTAAGCTTCAAGTCAAAAACATGCTGCTCCAATCTTGCAAAAAGTTAAAGTCACAAATTTGTCCTGCGCATTTTTTTGTTATGTGGTTCAGAGTAGTGAGGAACCATAGACAAGTGGGAAGGCAGCCACAGAATCAGCGCCAAAAACTGTCCGGAGCTTTGTGGCCCTGAATTGGTATATTCGGCCAATTCCATTAATGAGTGATTAGACATGTGGGACGAAACCCAGGAGTTTGTTGGGGGGGGGGGGGGGGCACAACTCTAAATCCACTTGCTCGCTATATATACTGTCAACTCTGCGCGATTAATGGGAAGGGAGCATGCATTTGCATGATACACCAACCCTCTCCTCCACAGCCTTGAATTACAGGTGTGCAGCAGCAGCAGCAGCAGCACCACCGTGAACTATATATGTCTACATATGTAGACGTGAGCTGTAACCAAACCATCCAGAATGCACCCAATCTTGTCAGATGCTATTCAGGATTTGAGCACAAGTGGTAGGATAGGCAACCACCATGCACAGCAGGTGATTAGAGGCTGGAGGACGATGTCGTAGGCACCAGAGGGCGGTGTAGCATTTGTTGTGCTGTACTCCTACGCCAACACAAATATGCTCTCCACCTTCACCAACCAGCGCTATCGAGCGTGATGAAGACGGTCAAAATAACGGCCATGACCCACACAGCATGACTAATGCTACATTTGTAATCATGGATTAGTTTTGGTGCTACCTTCATTTGTACTCACATTTCTGTCAGGGCTTTCAATGAAGAGAAGGAACCGTCTTGGATGGACATCAAAGCGTTGTTGCTCAAGTCCCTGAAAGGACAGACAGGGAGGTTACTTGACCAGTTTTCACACCGACACCAACAAAACTACTCAATGGAGGTTACTTTAGCAATAAAGACAATTCAACAAAGCTCCAAGTTGTTTAAGTACCCACTTTGTTTCAACATTGTGCTTCCCTATACGCTATGTTCAATGGGTCTACTGATGGGGGTGGTAACAATTATGCACGACTTGGGAGTGTATGGATGATGCAGGTTTGTTTGCCAGGACATTGGCTGGGTTGTGCTGCAGCTGCAAGCATGTTTAACAAGTCTTTGACACTTGTGATTTCTTCAAGGCATCAGTCAATGACAGAGATACCCCATCTTCATAACTTTTGAATGGCAGGGAATCAAATTAAAGAGGTCACCGCCTGCCAATGTTTGCTGATGCCACCACTTATCGCTGTCATTTTCTTTCGCGTGACGGATCCCTTGGCTGTTAAACAGTTAACGAGTGATGTCCGAGACCAACATTTGGCTTCAGGTCTTCACTCTGTTTACTGATCCTCTGGGAGCCACTCCAATGCATGTCTTGATAACCTGACCCTCTATCCTGCACATGCACCACCGCCATTACAACTGTCTCTCCGAGATGACAAATACAATGTTTTCATGGCACACGCTATTCCAAGATTTCAAATTGTTCACACCAATTTTTCCAAAAAGTTCTCATCGTCCATGTGTGTCCAGACGAGATATTTCACTTGTCTGTACTGCCCGAGGTGGCATCCAATTTTATTCACATGGCCAATTATGGTGAACTATCAAATCATTTCACTCGTATCCGCCGAGTAAATAAATCGGTTACTAAGTTTTACAACCTTAGATGCTAACAATTTCTGCTCTGGTTCATGGACTGCAAGTATCCATTTACATGCACCTGCACTCAAAGAGAAAATTATTTTCGCGAGTTTTTCTTTGTTAAAGTGAACCTCCCTTACCCAGAGCGTAACACGGCCATTCCTGATTCCAAGTTGCTCACCAAATCCTGGATTGCTATTGGTAGCATCCTCCTCTTATACTCGAGCGGCAGAAGCTTCTTTTGGATTAATATTGCTCAAGAGGTAGTACATTTTAAATCAAGAGAATGCGGCTTATTTTACAAATGAAAGGCTTGTTTTTCCCTACTATTTTGATCACTGACCTAAAGCACACTTTTTCTGGCTCTGCCAACGCTGCTAACAAATGACTCACAACCGAGTCAGCCATGTGGTCTCTGCGCTCCCGGCAATGAGTAACGTTCCGCCGACTTAATACAGTGAGTGTTTCACAATTCGCGCCTGCCCACAGTTATTTTAACACTAAATAGCAGGGTTTTTTCATGTCATATAAGCTAAACCACAGTCATCGCGTTACATTCTTAACTACGATGTAATTCTTAACGAGCCAAGACCACTTGCGACACACAATTGCTCATTAAAACTCTGCGCTTACAAAATACGCAGAGGAAAGACCTGCCTCGCAAAAATACACATCTGTCCAGCAATAACTGGCAACAATGGGCAATCTTCGAAGCGGAAACGAACTGGCCAACCATTCAGTCTTATGCCTCCTGATACACACCCCTTGAGGAGGTTCCCAAAACTCAAAATTTTGTTATAAAGTAAAGGTAAAGGTGCAGCCTGATGGCGATCGCTTACACCTGCCACTGCTGGCTGCTGGGGTAGGAAGGGCCTTCACTAGAGGGAGCTCTGCAGCCTCCTCTAGAGCAGTGTTCTTCACTAACTTTCGCCGATAAGAGACATCATCAGTGTGAGGGCTGCCACACATTTGAAACCATTGGGGTTTGACAGCAGCACGATGATGATGATGGAGGGGTGTTTTCACATTTGTGTATTGTTGGGGGCCGCGCGTCAGGGGCCGCACTAAAGGCCACCACAGTGGCCTGCAGACCTTGCAGTGAAGGACGCTGCTCTAGAGGCTATTTGGCCTTCTCTCCCACACTTGCCAGATGCCTTGCAAGAGATGGGAGCCCCAATACTTTAACCCCGCCACATGCGACATGCCGATCGACTAAGTGTGGTGGGCCTATTTATACTGCTGGAAGGACAGCGGATGATGGGGTTTAAGAAAGCGGATGATGAGGTTGAAGCAACATTATTTCAAATGGCGAGTCGGGGAGAACGAGCCGGCGACCTCTGGACTGCAAGTTCATTGTGCTTCCCGTCACACAGTGGGCAGCATCCCAATAATATGTTAATGAAGAATGCAAAATACAAAAAAAGTATAGAACTCCTACGCTTCGATGCAACACTCTACAGCTGCTGCACGGCTGGTGCACAGAAGTAAAGTGACGGGGGGAGGGGGGCAGGAGACGGCATCCTTCGGCAATTACGTGACCAGGCTACGTCGTCTTCCAGTGGAGGCTATTGTGGCGTTTCGGTGGGCTCGCAATGGACGCTGTGGGGGAACGTTCGCGAACGCTAACGTACGTGACACCGACGCGAAGAGGGAAAAAAAAACACAACAAAAAGACATTTGTCCCGCAAGAACTGGAAACGGCGCAACGCTCGCAGAAAAATAACAAATCCAGTCTAGACTCGCAGATGTGGCTAAAGCATGGGCTGGTTTCGGAGCCAGATTGCCATATTACAAAAGCTATCTGCGCGCTCGTGCAACCGCCAGCCACATGTGTAACTCCTTCCTGGGCTTCGACTCGCTGCCAAAGTAAATGCGCGGCTACCCACGAGCGTCCAAAACGAAAGTGGAAATGTCGGAAGGGCTCCAACTTGAGAAAGAGTCGAGAAAGACTTGGCGTAACGTGCACAGAAAAGCAAAAGCTACTAAAAGCATTTGCAAGCGGCTGAAGCCAGCAACAGCTGAATACTTTAGCACCTGTTTTGGCCACACTTCTGTATACCCCTTTTATAAGTTTTGGTCACATTATTGTGATTGGCTTCCGCGCAACTTAGCGCATTAACGTATAATGTGTATTTGCACAGGGCAAACACGTACACAGTAACTCTCACAGAGATGCAATCTGTGGCAGAGAGTCTCTTCAAAGTCAGCCATGCTTATAATGCACTCTACGCGGTTATAGGCGCTCAATATCCAGTCACGTGACAATGTAGTGAGACCAACTTTTAGTCTACTTCATCGTCATCAGTCAATTTTTTTACATTTAAAAATCGTGACAGCGGCAATATATGTAAGGTAAAGGTGTAGCCCTGCAATTTTTTACTCGCTCAACTGTTGGCAGAAGGGTAATTTGGCCTACTCTTCCACACTGGCCAGATGCCTTGGAAGAGGTGGGAGTAATGGCACTTCCCCCCTGATGCCCGACCTGCTGATCAACTTTGCTCAATAATCAATACACTGGGTACCACTTCCAAAACGGTACTCAACTCTTGAGCATGAATTGGGACTCTGAACTCACGCATGTTTTGACTGCGAGTTGAGCGGTGTAACCACAGGGCCACTCAACCGTATTGTGACTACACAATTCTGCTCATCGGCAAAACAGAGACAAATAGTCAAAAGGCAGTCGGGAGTAACTTACAAGTACTGCAGTCTCTCCAGACCGATAAACGCCTTCTTGGCAATAGACTTGATCTTGTTCTCACTCAATACCCTGGAATCAAAGAGATACACAAACAAGCAGGAATGTTAAAAAGCTGTCCCATAAGTCACATTACCACATGCTTTCCAGAAACAACAGAGCGCCTGCAAAGATGTGCACGCCAAATTTTATCCTACAGGGCGCAGTAAAAACACGGTGTGCAAGGTGTGACCGTTAAAAAAAGGTGTCTTTTTGTGGTTAAAAGCATTTAGAAATTTAGCACAAGGCACATGTAAAAGAAATTGTGGACTGCGCGTGATAGATAAAAAAAACAAACATCTGTTTTAATACGTAGGGGTTGTCTGTAAAGACAGAAGCAGTTTGAACGGTGGGGTTGAATACTGGGGCTGTGTGAAAGACAAAAGTGTTTGCCAAAAAATATATATTAAAAAAACACTTGAATGATTTTCGCACTGCACATAACAGAAGCATTTCAAACAATCACACCTGAGATAAAGGCCAGCAGCGCCTGGGACTATCAAATCTCGATACGACGAGTGTTGCCAACACTATGGCAGACATGCGGATGTTTAGAGGGATTAGACTTGTACGATAAAAAAAGTCATACTACCAAGCGCATGTATTGTCTTATAGGCCCAGCTCTCACTGCTGTACAATTGGAATTATTTTTTTGTTTCATTCCCCCTAATTATATTTTAATTGCATATAACAACTAACCAAAAAGCCACAATTTGCTTATATGTTGATGCGTTTCAATGACGAGATGGTGCTTTGGATGGCGGACTTGTGCCAGAAAGGCACCACGTTTTAAACACCAATCACTTGACTTGCTGTTAGGGTCGTCGTTTGCCAAGTACACTTCTATTCGGAACTCTGCACCTAACCGTGTACCACTCCGTCTCAAAGAACGCCCCCCCCGAAAGATGATGTCAATTCAGTTACTTTGCGAAAGACCACTTTTAATCATGGGCGTCTGGTCCAGCTTTTGAAGCCAGGATCTCAGCAGTGCCGGCTCGGCACGCTCAACTCTGAGCCACGCGGACAAATTTGAATACATTAGGGTGCATGCTGGGAGGTGGAGTTGGTGCTTGCTATGAAACAAAAAAATTGCACATGGAATTTTCTGTTTGCAGCATTGGATGCTATTAACTGTCGTACTGCATGGAAGAATCTTGAATGTGTTAGTCCCCGATATACCTGGGGTTTATCAAGGTGCTCCAGATATCGCACATTCAAAATAACAGTTAATAACAGTAAGTTATTTGTAAATCAAGGGCATTGTAAACATACATGAATTATCAAGCAAAGAGCGTGAGGCAATGTTCACAACTTAGTGCCTGAACACAGTTTGCATTTAAAATATTTAATTCCTATGAAAATTAACGCTTGCTTCGCTAGCTCCCCAGTGTGCACTCTGCTCCACACACACACACGTGTCACAATGCAGCTAAACCTGTCAAACCACTTTGTGGGTGTCATGGCAAGAAGTCGCGCTATTAAGTTTTACCCCGGGGACAACGCCCATCCCCATGTCACCGATGAAGACCTCTTCTCTCGACGTGCGTCGACAGGTGCGAACACACCACCCGGCCACTCCATCCATCTCGGCCCCTCGACAAATTGCTTTGCGCGCCTCCGTTTTCCAGCGCCGGTGTTTGTGTGCGTGCACGCGCAGCGATATCCTCGCCAAAGCCAAATTGCTGCCATCTCCCCTATCGTCGGAAGCCAATCGAGCTCGCCGCCGCGTACGACTGGCGTTGCACGAGTCGCAATCGAAAAGGCAGCGGCGTTCAAATCCCGAGGATTGACTCGGGCCTCATCATCCCTTTGAGGGTTGATAAAACGTCAGACTGATTTACAGAAAGACAACAGCGTCAAGCCCTACCCCGCCATCGGAATGTGGAATTACCAACAAAGTCTGGCGGTGATGAGTATTTTTTATCTGAGCAGCAGGACACTGGGTTTATTTTCCCCCATGACAAATGTACATTGGTGCCTCGATAAATAAATTACCCCATCTTAGGTGTGGCATGATCTCTCCTGGCTATGCTATATTTTCCACTGCAATCTTACGGCTTATTATGAATAATAGGTAAAGTAGTCCCTTCTTCAAAGCACATACAATGCTTCTTCATAGCACACACAATACTTCCTCAATGCACATACAATGCTATGAAGAAAGGTAAGAACAAGCAATCAAGGGGATTATACACCTACGCAAATACAATTTCTTATCTGCCTTGTTCGGTTGAAATGTTGACATAACTGCACCAACAACCAAATGGACGAATACAAATACCGCCCTTGTTGATTTGCTCTGCATGAATATATATTGTTGAAGATTCAAGTCGGTAATAAATTTAAGCTCGTTTTAAAATGACGACCCCATCACCGTTTAACAACGCGGGAGGAGTTAGCGTGTTATATTTCTAAAAGGAAACCGTCTGAAATGCACATTATGGGGAGGAAGAGCTGTCGAAAATGAATAGAGAAAATGAAAGATAAATGATGATGGTGAAGGCATAATTCAATCTAGACACATTAGACTGACATGTAGAAAGCCCTCGCATCATCTCAGGTGAGCTTAAGGGCTCTGACATTTCGAGTGGGGCATTTGCTTTCAATGACAGCTAAAATTGCACGTAGTAAAAATATTAGAAATTAAACTGTAGAAAAGTACTGTGTTACAAGTAAAAAAAAAGAAAACGTTACAGTTTGCAGTGTCAAGCTTTTCCTTCCTACACCAACGTATGTTACCATCAATAAATAAGGCAATCGTATTTTTGATGTAACTCACTAAACTGCTTTGCTTAGTACTTTGAACATTTATCATTATTTTGCTATGGTATCCGCTCATTGTTATGTGACAATTGGAAGGTTACAAGCTTAAATAACCGGTTTGCGGGCAAACTCAACCCATCATCCCCCCAGGCTCACTAAAAGAGCACAATTTGTGGAGTGTCATTAGAAGTCCACATTGAGAGACTGATCCCCTGCCATGAGAATGTGGAATTTCCCTCCACTCGCTCAGGGCTGTCAACGGTTGATGAGCACCACTATTTCCACATTCGAGAAGGGAGACAATAACTTGTTTCTAGAACTCGCACAACGTCTGGTTAACAATGCCGAGCTGTCCACAGCAAGCGATACATATGTAAGAAATGTCTCGGGTCTAACCCAGGGTAATCTTCGCACGACGCCACTGAACAATGGTCTCTTCTCGGCATAAGTGTCAAAGCGAATCCTGAATGTCACAAGTGGACAGGGCAGAATAGTTGATCGATGTCTCCACCGTGATGGGGCTTGCCTTGTGACACCGTCTGCCTTCGCAGCTCACAGCCATGCGTAGCGTCTTATCTCATTGGCACGACTCATCTCAAAACGTGGATTTTGTTTTCCCTCTGCAGGCACTTCAGCCGCACCGAAAGGCACGAGGATTTTTCAAAGTGGTCCTTTTGTTTGAAACGAAGAGCCGCGAAAAGGACAAAGAAACCAAAACAACACTCGCTGGACCGGCTGAGCCAAGGAATAGGAGCTGTCGACACCCGAGCTTGCCAACACGGCGCTAACGATCGCCCAAGCATGCCATGTGTCGACAAAGCTAGCTCCAAACACCACGTCAACTTTGCCCTCGAGCCTAATCCACGTGAAGCCATTCTTCACGGTGTACGTATATACCCAGGTAATTATTCACCATATAATTGTGCAGACTGCAGGGGCAAGTGCTGTTGTAGCGAGCACCTATTCAGGGTATGGCTGACGCTACAGCTTTAGTATTTCCAGTGCCCATGTTTACACAATGCACGAGGCACTCATTTACGACAGAGCTCACCTACGGGATGCCCAGAACAGGTTCAGAGATTACTGATGATGTGGCGTGGCTGTGGCTCGGTGCTTGAACCGCCGGTCAGTGATTGTACACACACCAAAAATGTGGATTCCTTCAGTGGGTGGCTGCACCAACTTTTGCTTTAAAATACAAGAATAAACGTGCGTCTTAGAAATTGTGGACTTTGGTAACAATAATTAAACATTCTCGCTCTTTGCCCTTAAGAGCAGGCAGGAAAATGCTGGCGGAAAAAAAACATTTTCTCAGATCGCCTTGATACACACATCCCAATGTTGTCCCGCCATCTAGAAAATCTGTCACATTTGAGATGCTTTATAAGTCCAAACTGTGATGTTGGTAAATATGTATTTTCAAGCCGAACCTGTAGAAATTCTTACACTTGGAAATAAAAAAACGATACATTCACTACACTAACAAATGATGACTAAAGTCGACCTATGCAACTGCACCAGTAAAAAATCTGACCGTTTTGCCTTTGCATCCTGTGCTATTATATATATTCTTACGTATTCCTTTCACACTGGTCTGCTTGCGAGCACGCTTGCGAGCACGCCTGCGTGTGCGCGCGCACGCAGATGTCCACCCTGTGACAGGTGCTGAAGCAATCTGGAGAATGTTAATCAGTCGAGTTGGTATTTTTTTTTCTCTCTGGTTGTTTGTTGAAATCTGGCCCTGCGTGGAGGAGGACGACAGCTGCGCAAAGCCAGTGCTGCTCTCACACTTCCTGCAGGTGCCTGTGCTTACATTTTCCAAGAGACACGGCCAGCCAAGCAGACACAAGAGCGCGCTCAGACACACACACACGTGTTTCCCCACCACCCAAACCCACTGCTTTGCCTCTTCCACTGCAAGCCGTCCACCTCGCAGGCATCGCTTTGTTCCCCAAAGACGCGAGGGGAGGGAGACGTGGGGTGAACGCGTTGACGCAAAGGTTTGCGGTTCGAGAGCGCAGTGGCCGCCCTAGTTAATGCCGCATGTGCGCATTAACGCACCAACGTACGACTTGATGTGGCAGAGCGGTGGGAGCTTTTGTTTGCCACTTGTTGTAGAGGTTCGTGGTTCAGGCCTCACGGCCGCCCTGGTTAATGCCGCGGGTATTTTAACCAAGAAATAGGTGCCGTCTGCCTCACAAAGGATGTCAAGGTTGCCGTGAAGCTTTTCAAAAAAGCGTGGGTTACAAGTGCCGGGATCAGCCCCCTCTAAACCCGTCTGAAACATAGCGCCTTAGAGATACCCTTGCATTCTAAGAATTGCACGAATACAAACTGTACTAAATGACTATTATTATTTTAAGTTTGCTTTATTTCCTTGTCTAACTTGAAATAACTTCATAGCTTTAGTGTGCACTCTATCATCTTTAATGTATGTTATGATGTTCATAAAACCAATGGATGGCAATTGTAGCGTGGTGGTGTTATACAAATATAGTATGATTACAACTTCTACTTTGGCTGAAGCATAGATTATGATCGACGGTTATTGTAATTGTTAGGCATTGTCCAAGTGTTGCTAACATACATTCACGTAAAAGGAGTTATAAAAACGTCTTGTACAGAATGCTTCAACATTCATTTCTTCATTTAGACATACGGACAACTGTACTGGAACCGGGCGTGACTTCACGAGCAACTATTCGGGCCAGCAAGGAAAACGAGGGATGGATGTGAGACCAGCAGCATGCTGAATCGCCTCCATCTCGCTCTCCATCCCCATCAAATCCACACCAAAAGAGGCTTTTGGCCCCAGCTGTCGATTGAGGTTATTGCTCAAGAACATTGAACCCAGGTTTTCAAGGATGGAAGGAAGCACACTGTGGAACCACTACACTAGTGCTCCCCCCATGGTCACGTACACACTCGTACAAAAATAATATTCTCGATTCAGCTCTCTAAACCAAAGGGGGCAAAAGTTCTCCCTCGTGAACACTTCGCAAAGTTCCAGAGTGGCTCAGGTGTGGAAAGGGATGTCCAAATATGAAGTTGGCCACCTTTGACTCTCGAATGCAGACCATTTCACCGAGCGTCAGAGACTTCCCAATCTTCTTCTTCCGTGTGTGTGTGCGCGAACACTGGTACTGTAGTTGTTAGTACACTTGCGTTTCTATCACAGCAACCAAGATTCGATTCTTGGCCCATGCATACCAGTTAGTTCTAAGGAGCACCTAAAACCTGTCCTCGACTTTCCTTCACCCAACTCTTACTTCAACCGATTAAATGTTGCCAAATGTGGTGCAGAAGAGTTGACAATCTGAAAATTGCATCGCTGAGCTAACGCCGATTGAAAAACAGAATTTCGATTTAAAGCTTTCGTGACTGCAGGGATTCATCTTCTTGGTTCTTTCGGTGAAGTCACGTAGAAGGGAAATAAAATAATAAAAATAAAACAATAAAATAAAATGCAAGGGTAAAAAAACTATTATCATGTCAACTCCTTTTTCAAGGCGCTCTTCTCCCACCGAGTTAAAATACGCTGCCAAGCTCAGCAGTGTTCATTGGAGCGCTGTGTTTCCGACAGCTGTGTTTCTTCACCTGAGGACGGCTGCTTGTGTTGTGGCCGGCTACTTGTGTTGTGGCCGAAACGTCGTGAGACTTTTATTTTGTTATGTTTTATTTTTATTATTTTATTATTCACCTTCTACGTGACTTTACCGAAAGAACCAAGAAGATGAAAAACAAAACTTCACGAAACAACAGCTTGAGAACAGGACTGCCCCTTGACTCAACATCAAAATAAAAAGAATTGGGGGCGCAGGTGGCACAGGTGCTGCATTCCTCACGACGGCCCTGCCAAAGGAGGTGGGAGGAGGTCTGGCTACTTCTCCTGCACAGCCGGGTGTAAAGTCAACGCAATTCCAGGAAATTGATTGCTAGCGTGCGTGCCTGCGTACATGCGTCCGCGGGTGGTTTTTTTGGCACCGTTAGTATAATGCTTAATGCCGGTGCGGTGTGTGAATATTAGTCCTGAGAAGACAAATACGGCTGGGTATGCTTGATCCTGGCCTCAAGAACCCCCCCCCCACCACCTTGCGTACCGTGCTGATCTTGCCCCGGTGCTCTGCAAGGTTTAACGGGCAGCGTTTGTCTTTGAGGCGGTTAGTCGTTCCGTGCTTTTATCATGGCAATGCGTATTTGACTCCCAGTCCGAACATCCATTATCATCATCAGTGGCAAATTGTATTATGAACCAAGCATACGCCACCCCTAGGTCAACTCAGTCGAAAATCCTGATGTAGTCTCAACATCAGCACTGGGCAAGACAACTGTGGCCAGGCCATTTATGGTTTTGCCGACGCAGCCCACTTGTGTGTTTTATTTGAGAACTCACAGTTTGTTGAGGTTTTCCAAGCCTGTGAAGGCTCCGTGCATGTCTTCTATTGTCCATGAGATTTCGTTTCCTGCCAGGTCTCTGTTAACAGGCACACAAAAAAAACAAAATAAAGACAAATAGCAGCAGCAGCAGCAGCTTACTCCCGAGCCAAAATTCCCAGCAGCCTTCCATGGTAATGGTTTCACAAGCGATGAATAATGTTGGCAGGATAATGTTTTTGATGGGAAATATTGTCAAAGTGACAAAAAATATCCTTGTTTTATGCATTCAATCAGTCTCACTTTAAATGAGTGCTGAGCACAAACATTACTTTACAAGTTGAACGTTCATACCGTGTTCAGTTACACACGAATTGTAATAATTTAACAGATACATCCAAAGCCACCCAACTGTAACTATCGCACGTATTCGTGAGTAAAATACTGTCACCCAAATGTAACTGCGTACGGCAAATTGTTTCCATTCTGTAATTCAGTAAAAGCACACTTTAGGCCACTCACAAAACGTATCATCTCACTTTGGCAGTGGCCTGAGGGGCACGTAGACTGGATGGGATTGCGGTGTGGCAAGTCAACTTGTCAGCGAAGTGAAAGGTTACCAGTTAGAATTCTTCTTGGGCGTAAACTCGGCCCATAATCCCCGCCGAGCAGATAAAACAAGAACCATTTGGAAGGAAGTCAACATTGGACGTTCATCTTGTACCGCAGGGCGATATCCATCATCCGGTGGTCCCCTCGGCTAAAAAACTGCGCTCCTAGACGCTCATTGCATTACTGTGTGCAATATAAATGCACGATGTTGTTGTTGTTGTCCTAGATATGTACTCGCCCCCACCGCGGGAATGTTGAATTTCCTGCGTTGGTTCAGGGCCTTTTATCCAAGTCAAATGCCCCCCCCATCCCCCCCCCCCCATTACTTGTTGGAGAAGCAGGACACTCCGAATTGACTCGACTTTGAATGAAAATCCCCTGAGCAGCAGAAAAGGCCAAACTCGTTTAAGTGTATTCCAGTGGTTCTCACCGTTCGTAGCCCCCCAATGAAGACCACTAGCACCCCACCCCCAAGGTACTCGGGGGGGTCACTATTCACCAAGATCACTTGTCCACACCTCTAGTCAACACAGGGTGAAGAAGTAAGGGATCTGTAACCTGAAGCGTTACACCTTTTGTCGCCGCAATGCGGCGCTGACATTCGCTCGCGCGCAATCAAAAATTTCTCCTGCACGGTATCCGTACAGCAGCCTGGCACCCCCCCCCCTCAACTACTGTTCTAAACAGTGGCGGCTCTCGTTGTTGCACACGACAAAAAGGGTCCCCCCCCCCCACACAACCCCTCTCCTGCCACCTTCACCGCCGCTACCGCAAAAAGAAATCCCCACCCCCACCGCGCAAACAAACACGCCCTAATCGGAGTGCCTTCACGGCTGGCTGGACACAAATGGCCGTGGGGTAGCGCAGCGTTAATCAGAGCCTCTCTCCCCTCTCCAGGGCCGTACGCTGCCCCAAAGCCGACCCCCGGGCCTCAATGGCCGCCTGTCCATGCCACTTTCACACCCACTGCCTCCCGTCATTTCCTCCCAACAATGGCACTTAATCAAAGCAGGCCTGCACCCAATTCTTTTTCCACTCGAGACTCTTTGACACAGAAAGAGGCCCCCCGTAAGGTTCGTGTGTGTCTCTTCTCTTGGCTTTCCTTCTCCCCACTCTCTCCTCTTTGCTGGCACCAAATAACCACCCCCTTCTCAAGAGTTATACCTTTCGGACATTCAATGAAAGCCTTCCCATTTCAAGTGATTGGCAAACAACTGTAATGCAGTCGACGAGGAATGCTTGCAGCTCGTGAACAGACTGTCATTCCACCAAACTACGTTTAGCTGGCCCAAGTTTGTATGACGTTGAACTTTTTTCACACGGTACGTAGCCAACCGTGCTAATCGGAGGTGCGGGTAAAAGTTTGACGCTTTAATAAAATAAGCACCACCACTTTGGGGTAAAGTTGAGTGGTCCACCTTACGACGAGGGTTGACCCCCACTGGAAACGTAGAATTTCCTGCACTGGCTCAGTGCAGCGAGTAGAGACAACACGCACGGCCCCATAGCAGGAAGACACTGTTTGAATGTTGACCGATTTGCAAGAGCACTTACTGCAATGGCTACGGGCACCGTACAACAATTGGTGAAGGCGAATTGCATGACAATCTGCCAAGGTTCCTAAGGCCGTGTGAAAGGTGATGAAGGTGGGGGGGGGGCAGGAGCAGACACGTATATACAGCGCGGCTTGCGGGAAAACGCGACGAGAACTTGGCATTTACGTCAAACGCGCGCAGTGATCGTGCCGAAACGGGGCAAGGCATGCAAGGTATGCGGCTTGCGAAAGAAATATTTCGTTCAGGTGAACACATTTGCTGAACGTGTTGCGGTTGCATGGTGCAATTAACCCACACAATCTTTGAGACCCTGGTCACCCTTATTGCTCACTGGTGCATTAAAGGCTAACAAAAAAGCAGGCGCCACGCTCAAGTGTAAAAACGGTATCTTTGTAACGAGCGGCGATTTTGCGTAACTCGCTATGAGCAATGGTGATAACTGGGCGTGTATTTATTTACAGGGCATGTGGGCAGTAGCATGGTGTATGATATGCGAATAGATTTGTAAAGTGTAAAGATCATCTGGCCGATGCAACAAATGGCATCACACCTCGCCATCACTTCTTTCCTTCTGCCATACGCCGCAGCTGTTGCAATGTCAACACCTGAAACTCCACGGTCCACTGTCACAGTATCCCACCAGCTGGCCTCCTAGCTTTTTTACGGTGGCGAGATGTGAACTACCTCGCCCGGTATACAGGAGGTCGTGGGTTCGATCCCAACCCAGACCTCTGTATATTCCGAGTTTGGATGTTCTCCCTGCGGTCGCGTGGAATTTTCTCCGGGAACATCCGGTTTCCCCCTCCACATTTACAAACAAGAGTTTAGAGTATTTGGCCGCTATAAATCCCCACACAAGCCACTTGGTTGCACACAGGTCACTTCTGAAAAAAAGCTTTTTAGCTCAGTGGGCCTCACCTGGTAAAATAAAAATGGTTTCGTTTTTTGTTTAGTTTTCCCCTTGAATGCCACTCCAATGCACATGTATTGACACCCAACCCTCCTCTTATCCTGCACATGTTCCTCACCGATCATATTGTCCTCTCACCAATTAAAATCTACTACGCTGTCACACACACTCTAGATAATCGCGACTTGAAAGAACCTGTACGGCTGAGACGCGTATGGCCAGCGTGCATGACGCTTGCCCAGACAAAGGTTTTACCACCTCCTCCTCCTCCTCACCACCTTCCACTCAAGCCATCAACGCTCCTTACTGCAGGTAAAGTGAAGTTCAATGTTCATTTATTCCATATATTTATTCATTTATTCCATTTATTTATTTATTGTGTTTCTTGTTTTTTTTTAAATGATTTTATGCATGTCATTACTGTAAACTTCGTGTAAAAATGCTTTATAATGAGAGATTTCTTGTGTCTGGAACCAATTAATGTAATTTACATTAATTATTATGGGGAAAATAAATTCGGTGTTCGAACAAATCGGTGGTCGAATGGCCTTCTGAAACGAATTAAGTTCGATCTCCAGGGTACCACTGCAGTATGGTAATGTTTGTTGAGTATGTGTATATATGTATAAACCTGTACCATTATGCTAGGCTACGTTTACAACATGCAATCGCCTACCCAACGCAGTGCCAATGCCAAGGTTGGCGAGTTTTAATTCGGTAGAGGTCTATGGAATGTGGAGGCAACTCTAGTTTCACCATTGCCACTTAGTTCGCTGCTCCAGGAAGCCACTGTACATGTCGGCTGCCCAGCGGCAGATGCCCCTGCGTGCTTCGGTAATGCGAATTTACAAATGAGTCGAAAAGCGCGGTTCAATGACGGCCGTTGAAAAAGCGGAGCACTTACCACGAATAAAAGCGATGTAGACCGTGCAGAGAGGTGGACTTTGAACACCGTGTTTTCGGCGCGCGCGCGTGCATGAGAGCACGCGTACAAAAACATCGCCAGTACGGCTTTGCGTGCGCACGCACACACACAACACCTTAATTGCACCTATGGGAATTTCAAAACGAGCAGTTGCTAAGGGGGCTGAAACATGTTTATTCCTATTGTCGGCGGGGCTGCGGGCACGCACGTAGCCGCACACACAAGCCCTCCTTATTGGGTTGAACCCGGTGAGCGTTAAGGACGCCAAGAAATGCGTCAGCAAGGCCTGGCAAAAAGAGCTTTAACACACTGAACCAATAACGCGAGCGGAACGTCACACTTAATCGCCTGCAGACCCTTTTGAGGTGGCAATCGGGGCTAAATTGGCTGCCTTGTAGTTTTGGACTTCACCGCGATGGGTCACAGTGGCACACGCATGGGGAAGAATTAGCCAGCCGCTGAGAATACCATTGAGGTCTCCGTTGGACTCATGTTTGCGTAGAACAGACGTGCGCAATAGTCGATTTTGTCACGCATATGAAATCCGTACGCGATGCATGCAAATCGTTTCGACTGCGTCACGTAACTTAACGTGAGAAGGTCGTGGAATCCATATACTGGTGATGGGTCAACTTAGGTCAGTAAAAGACGTACACTTTTGTGGCAAGTCTACGGTGGTTTCTTCTACAGAAAGACTGGCCTCCCATCACTGTTTCAGGTCCACAGGTAGAGTGGATCACTATCCCATGCTCTATGAAGCAGACACTTTCACGAGACTTTGATGCTTTTGACTCTGTTCCTGTCCATGGGCGGCCCTGGGGCCACTGCTCAGTGGAAATGCTCCAGTCCTTTGGTGGGGAGTAGAAGCACTATACAACAACCTCCGACAAAGTTGAACTCGTTTTATCCATTCCAGACCAAGACATGAACTTGCACGTTTCCGACTTAAGAGTCAAACACTACCCACAGGGCCACGTTGATTTTTTGCTGTCTTGGTTGGAACTACCAGATGAGTAAACTGAAACTGCTAAGCAGTTACAGAAGAAGTGACCAAGCTGTGTGCCCATTGGCATACGTTGGCCACCACCCCACACGCCAAAAGGTATGTGAACGTCCTATTGAGCCCCTCGGTAAAGTAAAAGAAAAAAAAGAGGCTCTCCACCCCTGACTCACAGCGTGAGGAGGCTGCGCAGCTCCTTGAAGGCGCCGTCGGCGATGTTGCTCAGGTGGTTGTGAGCGAGCAGGAGCGAGCGCAGCATGCCCAGCCCCACGAAGGTGCCCTCCTCGATACGGCTCAGGTGGTTGTGCGACAGATCCCTTTGGACAAGAGGAACCAAGGGGCAAGAACACACGCGACTCAACGCCGGGCACGTACAAATACACGAATTGAAATCATTTCAATCGATTCCTGTGATCGTAATACACGCAGAGAGAGAGAGCGCGAGCAATTTGATGATTTGCGATTCGTGCGGATTGCACGTAAACGTGACACTTCGGGCGGTGGAACGAGATGGATGAAACAAGACGACGACAAAGCGAGATGGCACAAACGAAGCGTAGCTCTTCCATCGCATCATGTCACCAAATAGTGACAGAACCATTGCACGGGAACCGATTGATATCGTCTCGTGTCAGAAGTGATGTGACAGTGAGTGGGGTGGTTAATGCCACGCTGTGCCGCCGCCACCACCGCCGCACTCACAGCTCGTCCAGCTTCTGGCAGAACTCCCAGGCGTCGAGGTCGATGCGCGACACGTTGTTGTGGCTCATGTTGAGCTGCTGCAGGGAGGAGAGGCCATACAGCCAGCCCTTGGTCACGTTGGTCAGCGCGTTGAAGTCCAAGTGCCTGCGGAGGAAGAACGAGTCGCTGTTTATCACCACAACGTGGGCCTGATACCTATGGTATAGTGTATCGATGGAACCAGATATGTCCACCTATGTATGTTGAACTTCCACACTGGACGTAGCCAACCATGCTAATTGGAGGTGTGGGGGAAGGACAACAATCTAAACACAAAACAGCAGTCCTAAAGAAATGTGTTTTCAATCTAGATTTGAAAATGCATAGCTCCAGTGGCTTCTTAATGTCAGACGGAAGAGCGTTCCAGATGGCCGCGATGCAGTGACCATCTTTATTCGATTGCTCGCCAAAAGCCGCTGCGAGCATTACCGGAGTTCGTGCGACCAAGACCACCACTACTCGCATTTATATCACGGGGCTCTCACATTGTGGAGATGAGTGGGGGGAGGGGGGTGTCTAGCCTGGCTGTAAAGCTAAAACCACATGACTATGATTTTCAATTATTCTTCTCATTCATAAAGCTTCCAGGTGTGTGTCAGGACAGCCTTGCGATACAAATCCTGCAAGGAGTGGTGATGCAAGTGTTTGCACCGCACTATGAATCCGGCTGTCTGAGATTGATTCCCGGTCATGGCTAACATCAGTGGCGAGTGATAACCGGACGGGTTTTGGCCTTGGTAAACATCAGCACGAGAGATATGAGGGTGGGTGGGTGTGGGTGTGCTTGACGAGACCAACTCCTCAAAGCGATGTTTTTAGCCTTAATAGGTGCTCGCTAACAGCACTTTCCCAAACAGCCTACACAGGGTATACAACTTTTGAATATGTTTCCATGTGCATCCATGGTATCTACAACACAACTGCTATTGCATCTCTACTCGAATTATACATCAACAAGAATTGACCAAACAACCCAGTGCATGCTCCTAGTGAATACAAGAGTCCCGACACTTGGCAAGGCTTTCCTGGGTAAGATAAAGAATGTTCTAAAAAAACGAATTGACGTTATGACTACGGCCAGCATCAATTAGCCAAACATCTGCAGCGCCGAAGAGGAAAAGAGAGCAGAAGAAATATTGGTAAAACGAGCCCTTTCGCGGACACTTACAAGATCTCCAGCTTCTCCAGCCGCCAGAAGGCACCGTCCATCAGACGCCCGATGTTGTTGCGCTGCAGACGGAGCGACTGCAGCGACTCGAGACCAAAGAAGCTCAGGCTCTCGATTCGCTTGATGCGGTTTCGCGTCAGCTCACTGCAAGGGGTCGGGAAATTCGTGGAGACAATGGAGGTGCGGCGAAATGAGCACAGTGTGAACCAGACAGAAATCCGCATCGGAGATGCGACTGGCATGATTTTGCGTTTCATAAACGGCTAACTGCGTCACACCACAAATGCACAGACTCCTCGCGGCACATGTTCGCGAGACGTAAGAAACGTCGCCAGTCCGTCGGAGAGTCGGTCACGAATGGGCATCTGTGAAAAAGAGGTTAATTTCGATTTAAAGCTTTCATGACTGCAGGGATTCATATTCTTGGTTCTTTCGGTAAAGTCACGTTTCCATTGAAACACAAGCAATCGAAACGTCGTGAGAATTTTATTGTTTTATTTTTATTATTTCCCTTCTACCTGACTTTACCGAAAGAACCAAAAATATGAAAGAGGTTCATGCCTCATCGGATTCCTCCAGTCACGGCACTGCCTCAAAACAATTTGCTGTGCAGAGCAAAGCAAAGGGCTCATGATAAAAATTTACAACATAAATTTTGGCAAATTACTTTCTTTGGCAATTCGTTAACAACATTGCTCCCTACAGCTAGACAGATGCCAACCTTCACACCCGTGCTGTGTTGTGCCGCACAGGGATATCTTCCATTAGGGGGTCCGCTAGGTGGAAAAATAAAAGACTAAAGCTGGGCATTGTAATGATTGAGGCGGGACGTGATGCAAGGCGCTTTGAGTTGCCGAGGGATTTAGGCAAGCGTCCTTATTCTGACGAGGAACTAAAGCACAATGAAGAGCAGTGTACCACCTATGACCTTTCACCATGACCAAAAGTCTTCACGTTTTAATCCTAAGGGGGTTTCTGAAATTCCTAAACTCTCTTCCCATTACTGATTTTTTTTTTTGCCGAGTTGAGAATTGGGAATAGTTTTTCAAGTGAAGACAAATGCAGGAAGCATCTGGGGGACAAATTAAGTCTTGAGAGGGACAAGACCATGAAGTTTCAGGCATTCTCGAGTCTCCTTGCTGCACCCGACAGGGAACGTACCCCGGACAACAAGCTCTATGGTAAGGAAAGCGGTATACTTTTGTTGTAAAATCGGCATTCAAATGTCAGGGCTTGTGATCAAGTAATTGGGTTTATGTCATCACCATACAAAACATAATGCTTTAGTCTATCAGCTAAGGGGGCTTACAGACGATTGTTTTCCACTAGCATTGGTGGTTTAAACGATGCAACATATGGACTGGTGTCTACTTCTCCGAGTCTCATCAGCAGGCTGTGGCCTGCGAAAACAAATGCTTGATGTTACAGGCAAGAGCTCTCCACAAACACCATTGGATCCCAAGCAATGTTCAGCAGAGCCGCAATATTGTTACCAATAAGAATGGAAATTGTATATCCCTCATTTCTTCCATGATTAAATAATTGAAACAAATTATTGAATTAAACAATGTGATGATCCCCAGAACAGTCATCTCTCCCAACAGATAAGCTTAAAGCCTATAATGACAATGCCAGGGACCCTATCAAACCGACAAGACGTTGCCTTTGGGTTAAACGTGCACACACTCTGAGCAAACGTCTCCTTTAATTACAGACATGCATCTCGCGATTAATGAAAGTGTCCATGGGTATTTACTCCAAGGCAAACAATCCGCGGGATTGGTAGTTCGGTGTAGACTGACGAGTACAGGAGAGAGCGCACGCGGTTTTTGCCACAGGATGTTTAACGCCCCCCGCGAAAAATACTTAGGGCAGCAGTCAAGAAATCCGAGACATGTAGTGTGTGTATTCTAAAACACTTCGGCATATCCCACAGCTGCGTGAACAATGACAAACACGCCTCTGTGCGTAATGAAATAATTGAGGTGTTGGCAAACTAATGGCTCCTTTTTATCGTTTCAATTAGTTTTTGTCATCAGCATTGTTCGTTGCCGTATCTACTTTTATGCGATTATCGGCGTTTTTCAGATAAACGCAGTTTTGCTGCCTCCTTTAAGAGGTTCCCTGCTTGTGTTAATTGTGAAACGTAGGGTGTCTTTTGTTGCTATCAACTAAATGAGCTCGAGGATAGAAAGTTGGTGGAAATAATAAAACACTTTACTTTGTAAACTCGCAATGACGACATCAGAGCACGCAATTGATAGCAACCAATTTAAAACACCAGAATATGGCCGCCTTATCCGAGCTCTCGCGGAGGGCTTCTCGCCACCACTGATGTCCTCTTATTTTCACCCCCCTCCCCCCGCAATGTGTGCAGATACTGCTGACTCAGTAGATACTACTGACTCTATTGTATGTAGAGTGTGTAGGCATATATGTCTACAAATTAAATGTTTTTTTTGGGGGGGGTCCACTTTCTATATCGTTTTGATTCAGGCCTTCTGAAAGGCTCTTATAATTTCGTAGACGGACAAACGGACAAACGTAACGCCGGGCTTTTATAAAGGTAAGAGGATGGTTTAACATTGAAAATATTTCCTCTGCTCAAGGCCCTCATGTACAAGAGGGGAAAGCTCATTGTTGAAATAGCAACGATTTCCCCAAACTGCTACAGACCCGTCACAGTAAGCAACTCAATGCTCAACTAAGCTTTGGGTCGTGTTCATCTCTGTTGGCAGCCCTACGCCAGCGGTCAAATTCGCGTGGGAAGGAACTCGCCATTCCAGTAGGGCAACCATTATTCACTTCCCAAAAACGTTGTTCAAATATTACTGACCACAGAGACATGATGGGATTTGAACCTGCAAGTTTCTGAATGAGAGTCAAAAATGTAACATTTGTCAACATCACTCCCACTCCCCTAAAGTAAAACATCTATATAACAGGCAATGGCTCTTCTTCATAGCATAGAAATTAAATAGGGCCAACTTTTTCGTTTGTTTTTTTCCCTTTTAGGGGATCAGTAGTCAGGTGGCTCTTGCCACAGTGCCATCTGCCCGGTTTGGTCAAGATTAAAAAAATAAAATACGCACGTTGTTTTAAAAAGTTGAAATGCTACGCAAGTGAGAATGGCTGTTTGATGACAGGCAGTCGAGCGCTGAGAGAATGAGTGTAGCAGGGATGCTGCGGAAGCTCTCTAACGGGTTTAACACGGATCGGGGCGGAATTTCACGGTCTTGGCGTCACTGCCCATCCGAGGGCACACGTGCAAATCTCATCAGGAGGCCACAGTAAGGACAATTCTGCTAAAACACCGAGCGAACCTTATTAGCCAAACACAGCCCAAAGTAGCTGTTCGGTACCCACTCATGTATTACAATTAATTGCTACGCTTTTAGTACATGCATGTAATCGTACGTGAAGGAGTTGGTTGTGACCCACAGTCTTCTATGCGGTTGGATCACGTCAATCCTGCAGCCACTAGAGGTGCTGCATTCACAGCAACGCTCAAAAACATAACTAATCTTTGACTTAGATCGTGATGCTGAATCGCTATGATTCGCATAATTGCGAGTTGGGTGAATCGGTGCCCATCCTTAAACTACCAACAGGAATACAACTCACGACGTGGACATTCAATTTGGTGGCACAATCAGACACATAATCGGATGTTTGAGTATTTGAATGCCGGTCAAGGGTCACCTCAGCCCATCATCCATACAGGGTCGATAAAATCAGTTCCACTCTGCTGTTAAAGCAACGCTTGGTTGCGCTCTACATAATCTGTCCCTCGTTATGGGAATGTGGACTTTCCGACCACTGGCTTATAGCTGACAATGGAGATGCGTGTGCCACCCCATGCTCATTTGAGCACGGAGAACCTCTCCCATTTGATATTTGTATTTACCTTGGCACGCCTACACAACTTTCCAACTCTTATCAAGCGGACGAAGGAGTGCCAAGCTATGGAAATACTTATAGCATGGACACAAAGAGGCATTCCAGGACCTGGGAATGACTGCGCTAGTTTTTTTTATCGCAACCACTTGAAAACAATAGGCCAAAAGAAAGAACGGCATTACAGATTTGAAGACGAACAGACTTGATTATCAAACACAAACGAATAGTGGACGTATTATCGGATGACTTAGATGAGTGTTTTGCAAAAGATAAAACATTGGCAGTAGGGTACAATGAAAAAAAAACATCTAAAAACTCACCATGTGCGTCGTTTAGACTGACATCCATACAAGAGGAAAATACATAGTTTTTATTCTGAAGGCCAATTTCCAACAAAATTTGCCTTTCACATGTTTTCTGTTGTGAGGCAGTGTTAATGATGAACATGAAAATATGTTCATATTCATTTTAAATGATTGTTTATACCTATGAGAAATTCAACATACATTATGGATACATAACAGATATGTTAAAATAAAATGCACCGGGACCTATTGTAATCGAGTAATTTTAGAATAACGAACATGCAAGCTGTCTAGTAAAAAAAAACTAAATAATCAGTCATAACTCAAATGCAATTGAGGTAAACGTTCCAATGAAAATAAATTCCGCTAAGATGCATCACTCTGCAATGAATACATCCGCCAGATGTTATAACAAGCTTTTCAATATTACACAAAATACATAAAAACACGGCAAAAGATTGATGTAAAATTGTCTCTCTTGTTCACAGGAAAAGGGGGTAATGGAGGTTTTGCTCAAATTTTTTGCTTTAACTGAAAGACAAGTTTTACTAGCTGACGGATTCCAAAATAAAAGCCCAACATACGGAGAAGACATTGCTTCACGTGTGCTGCGACATCTGCTAAGGCTATTCATATCGCGATTAACCGGCGGTCACGTGACCGTGTGGAGCTAGAGGTTAAAGGCTGGAGGTCACAGAGAGGCGGGGTGCATGCCTTGTGGGGGAGTTTCGCTTGAGCAGGATACAGGAACGGCCATTTGGGTGATTCTGACAGCGTGAAATTAATCAAATAAAACACCACGCTCGGCTACCTGTTGGCCGATGGCCACTTGACACGCTGATTTTAAATGTGGCGTAACTGCCACCCCGCACAAATCATACGTCCATATTTTATTTTAAAGGGAATTTTCACACGAACCCATGACTATGGACAGTAGCAGTATCGGGTGGCTTCACTGCGAGATTTCCTATTCTTCTCTTCCTCCTAGAATGTTTTCAAACTCATGAATGATCTGTCTTCCTGCCTCTCTTTATCCTGTTCCGGACCATCATCTCCACATCCACTCCACAGTCCGTCACATCCTCGCTCACCACTTTGAGTCCCCTCTTTCTAAGCCCACCTCTCAGTCTACCCTCGGGTGCGTCCCTGTTCCCTGCTAAATACATTATTCTTGTCTTGTGTTGTATTCCCAGCCATCTGAGTAGACTTCGGGGCTCGACGGTGGCGAGATGTTAACTACCTCGCCTGGTATGCAGGAGGTTGTGGGTTCGATCCCGACCCGGATGCCAGCATATTTGGAGTTTGCATGTTCTCCCCGTGGTCACATGGATGTTTCTCCGGGTCCTTCGGTCTTTCCCTCCACATTTGGCTGCTATAAATTTCCACGTGATAAGCAACTTTGTTGGGCTATTAGTTGTGGCCAGGTCGCTTCTGAAAAAGAGCTACATAGCTCAGTGGGCCTTACCTGGTAATATAAAAAGGTTTAGTTTAATTTTAGTTTCTTTCAGCTTGTCCGAGATAGAAGGGTCCCACCACTCTTGCCTTCTTCCTCTCCTCTAAATATTTGACGCTACCCTGTCTTGTGATCCGAGATCCATCTCGGCATCCTCATTTCTGTGGTGCACAACATCCACTCCTCCCTGGATTTTAGAGTCTAACATTTAGACCCAAAGTACAGCAATACCAGTTGCATTAACATCTTATGTCCAGTATGGGTGGGTCAGCAAGTAATACGTACTTCGCAAAGTTCACTCGCCTGGCCTGCACTACTGCACTGGGAACTCACACAATACATCCTTGGACACACAGTGTACAGATATTGAGGACTCACAGGTGCTGCAGGTGAGGTAGCTTGAACAGCTTGGGGGCCAGGGACGTTATCCGGTTCTTGTTCAACTTGAGACTCAACAGAGATTGTGAGAGGTTGTCCAGGCAGCCCAACTCCAACAGAGAAATCTTGTTGCCATTCAAGTTTCTGTGGGAATGACGATACGAAGGTCAGCGATCCTTAAAAGTTGTATTCGTTTAAGTTATTACAGTGCGAAACACGAACACTGTTGCTACGAATGGATGACAGCCGATGGTCCAGAATAGCAATGGTGAGATAGAGGCAGCCAATCAATGGATTTTATGGAAGAGGACATCCAACCGCGGAGACGTATTGAATAAATCCGTTCAAGTGCAGGCGCTAGGTGGATTATTTTATTTGAAGATCATGAGAGGTGGTGGTGGCTTTGGGTGGCCAACATCCAGCAGTGGATTGATAAACGAAAACAAACTAAAAATCTACAACCCCATTCAAACCCAGCATATGTATTCTCAACTGCCCTGTACAACTATTCACCTGGCTGTTAAGATGTCTAGCATAGTGCACCCACATCTTTTTAATAATAATATATCTCAATCCATTGTCATCTGGTCTCAATTAGTCTTTCATTGAGTACCAAACAAAGATCCCCTGTATAGCCTTAACACTGTTGGGGCATGGTGCTGTTAGCGAGCACCTATGAAGGCCGATACGGCGCACCAGTGGGTGGGTGGTCAGCACTATGCCCAGCCGCCTTTGTCTGCCTAGTGGCTATGTTTACACACCGGACCAGAACAGAGTACACACACGCACATGTACATGAATTTTATTTATGACCAGCTGAGAGCCCATTGAGACAAACATCTCTTTTTTGCAAAGGAGACCAGGGTTGGGGATTTTTTTTTAAAGACATTAACAACATTAACAACAAAATCATACAAAGACGAGGCAAACCATAGTATGGTGACCGAGCTGAGATCATTCGCACCCTGCGTTTGAGAACTCATTGAACAAAGACGGTCACCGCATTGCACGATTTCAGATGCGCTTCTGAGGCCGTGTGGAACGCTCTTCCTTTCGACATTAGGAAGCCACTGAAGCTATGCACTTTTAAATATAGATTGAAAACGCATTTCTTTAAGAACTGCTTAGTTTGTTGTCCTTCCCGCGCCTCCGATTAGCACGGATGGCTACGTACGGTGTGAAAGACATTCAACGTCATATGTACACACCTCAACCGTGTGGCAAATATTTACAGGGTGCTGATGAGAACAGTGGGGTTTATATACTTACAGGTGCTTCAGGCGCATGCCCTCTGGAAAGGAGCCAGCCTTTAACTCCGTGATGTGGTTGTTGCTTAGCTCCAAAGACTCCAGCGACGAATACTTGTGGAAGTCCTTTGCTGCAATGGCTCGGATCCGGTTGTGCTGCCTGCATGCAAGCAGGCAAGCGATAAGCACACAAGGGCACCGTCAGCCTATACACGACCACGTTCAAACAATCGCAGCAGCTCGCACAGGGGGAAGCCAAGGCACTTTGAAAATCATTTGCGTATTTACCGTGGGCATGCGAAGGTGCGACAGTTGAAATGGTCACGCTGACGAGAGATGTGTTGAATTGTGTGTGTAAGCATCGACTAATCGACGATTGATGCAAATGTACATATTAAGGGAGTGAATGACACTTTACCAAAGCGACAGAAAAAAACAACAACAATAAATGTAAACGAGACGGTGAAACTACGTAAAAAATATAATCGACAGTTGCATCAACTCAGAAACATGAAGAGTGAAAATGCTTGACAATCATGCGGCGGGGGCGGCGGGGGTGCTGAATAGTTACGAGCATACTCATGCAGATTTTACATTCTTCCACTGGAAACAAAACTTCCATCATCCCGTATGACCTCAACGACAAGGAGTTATCTAGAAAAAGGAGGCTTACATACGTGGCTGAAACATTTTACGTGGGCCGGAGCAGGCCCAAATGATTTTGGCCAAGTTGTGTGTGCACGTGCGAGCGAGCGCGTGCCACACATCCACACTGCGCCCCAAGACGTACAATCAAAACAAATAAGACGTAAACCCAAAAGCAAACACCTCTTTAGTTATATTCTTTGGGTCTTTCGGTAAAGTAACGGAGATAGGTTCAAAGAAAATAACAAAAAACGACGACGTTTCGATCGCAACACAAGCTGTCGTCATCACGAAAAGGGGGTTAGCTTCTAAAGGCAAATTGTTTATAAAGGTTTAAAATGGGCATAGCCCAAATGTCAGCAGCATGGGTGGGGCAGCTAGAGTTAATGTAAGTGATGGGCAGCGACCGCGATTGGCGGTGGGTTTCCACCAATTAAAGGGCTGCCAGGTAAAAATGAGCATGTTCATGTAAGATCGGTGAGCGGCCTCCACGGCGAGCACGCCGAGGTGGCTATGTTAATGTGAGAGATTAGCATGTTAATGTGAGAGATTAGCATGTTAATGTGAGAGATTAGCATGTTAATGTAAGATCGCAGAGCCGCCGCCACGTCAAGGTACGGCGCATCAAGGTGGCTGTGTTGGTGTGAGAAATTTTACCTGTTAATGTAAAATCTGAGAGCCGAAAATAGTGACTAACATCAGAAGGTGGCAGGATGGGAACATCACAGCCAGTTGTGCTTTAAACAGGTTGATAACGTCCTTTTAATGATTGCTAAATTTGTACCCATCTTCTCGGTTGAAATTGTGTCTGTGTCTGTATATATGGATGGCTTCATGAACAAATCTTTGTTGATAGCTAGTGGGTTTGCAAAGTACCTTCGTCTTCGAGAAATCAATTTCGTGTGAGCCCACCGCATTAAAACAATGATCAGCCACGGCCGAGGTATTGGTCCTAGCGTGTTTCAGATCTGCCTTTGGTTCAAGAACACGGTCCGAGACATGTCGCTTAGTTTCTCCCAATGTAACTACTGCCGCAGACACAGCTTAGTTTGTAGACGCCGGGGTATTGCATGTCAGGGATCACATCCTTCACAGATGGGATCAGATCACAAATTTTAAGTACTGTGATAAATCGGACCTGGATCTTGTGTGTTTTTTATAAGATGTGTGCCCTCTCACTGTTTCAAATGATTCTGAAGTTTTGTTACCATACACTCTGGATTCAGAAGCAATTTCCCCTGCGCCCCGCCTCGTATTTTAAAGCAAAAGTTGGGGGCGTATCATACAATCCGGTAGTCGGTTGACTATGACCTCATAACGTTTTATTTATTTTTGTATTGCCACATGGCCAAAGATGTGGGTCTTACAATCCGGAGAATATGGTATGTGTCGATTAAGGCAAGACCAGGATTGTCATCATGGACGAAGCCAACGATGCCATCACACCTCGGCAATGCCTTCTTATTTTCGCCACATCCCACAGCTGCCACACATTACGTGGCCAACTCCAAGAGATGCCCAAACAGTATGCCGCCATTTAGCCTCAGGTCTTCCCATTGGTCGCCGGACTAATGGGGATCACGCCAAGGCCTGTCTCATTAACATTAAATAGGACCCGAGCAGAGCTCTGCATAATGAAACTCTAGAAGCCTGCCTTATTTCAGGCAGGTAGCGGATCCTTTGCACTGGCATTCGTTTGCAGAATGCGCACATCAAATGCTTTGGCCTCCAGCCATACTAAGTCAGTGCGGACCATCTGCAATGCATACCAGTCTCTGTCGTCCAAATGGGGATATAAGGCACACGAGAGGATAGAATGCTTGCATGCATGTGCGCAGACTGCACAGCAAGAATGCAAATGCTGATGCACACGAGCGGATGAACACATAAAGACAAAGATGTCCCATATAGGCTTAACCGACTGTTGGGGCAAGTGCTGTTAGCGAGCACCAATGAAGGCCAGCACGAGGGGTGGCCAACACCAAGCCCAGCCGCCTTTGCCTCCTCAGTGGCGATATTTTTACACACCGCACCAGGTACTCATTCGAGGCCGAGTCGACCTAGGGGAGGCCCAGGACCGGTTGGCTGGGTTCGTAGCGCAGCACGCAAACCGCTACACTACCGCACACGCGGACACACACGCACCTAGACAAACACAAAGACACTTGCACAAACCGACCACATCTCCCCTGGCTTGCTCGCTCTCGCGCTCTCTCTCAAAGCGGCTTTGTGAAATCTGCTCCAACTGCAGGCACAGTGACAGTATTGATGTGGGTGATGTTTACTCAGGTGGGAATTAGGGCCCCTCTCTTGGGGTAAATACATTAGCCCTGGCCTGTATTAAACCCAGTGGTATATGGAAATTCACTGCGTTCTCATCCTTGCCACCATCGTCGTCATCTGCTTCTTGCAATATAGCTCTATAAAGTAACCAATTGCCATGTAAGGTCTTTTTCAGCCGCTTTGTAATTCTGCATGAGAGCCTTGATTCCTTTGTTCCATCTATTCTTGGGTTATCCCTTTGTGCTTGCACCATCTCTAGCTGCCCATGTTAGCATTACCTTAATCGAGAGCCACTGGTTGCCATTAATTTAAATGATGCATCATGCCAAATAACTCGTGGTGTTCTTGTCAGAGAAAACACAATTTTTTAAAGGTATCCGTTTTCTGTATCCCTCTATTTGTCGATCATCATAAGTGTAAAAAAAAATTAATCATCTAGTCATTTGCAATGCAATCTCTGGGAAAATAAAGTTAAACATATCAAAAGGAAGCCACCCACTTTAATTGAGCACATCAAATTTGATTAATTCTGGGGTCAAAATAATTCACTTTCTACTTGTGAGTGCAAATAAAAGTGTGTGTGTGGGCATTGAAAATCTAGGTTTTTTAAGTTACCTAATAGTTAGGTTTTTTCGGTATAGTCACATAGGCAAAAAATTAAAATCAATAAAAGTTAAATAAAAATAAAATAAAAATCACCACGTTTCGGAGACAACACAGGTGGTACCGTTCCACCTGAAGACGGAAGCTTGTGTTGCCTCCGAAACGTCGTGATTTTTATTTAATTTTTATTAATTTTAATTTTTTACCTACGTGACTTTACCGAAAAAACCTAACAATATGAATCCTTGCAGTCACGAAAGCTTCAAATCAATAATTACCTAATAGTGTTGTGTGTACTTGTTGTTCTCGCGCTAAGGAAGACGGCAGCACAGTGGCTGCTCCGGCGCAACGCCCCTTTCATTGGTCATAGGCTGGCCAGCAACAGGCGCTGTGATTGGAGCAGACGTTTGCCGTCGTAGGTGCGCACGACCATTCGCAATTTCAACAAGGGGGAGGTAAAATGTACGATTATTAATTAGTAAAATTTAGTCAAAACCACGAATAGGACCACCATGGCCGGGACCTGGACCGATTTAAAAAAAATGAAATCTTGAATTGGCACGCGATGCGAGTCTGTGCTGAAAATTTAAGCTCGCTAGGCTTCGTAGATCCGAAGATATTCAGCGTCAAAGATTCCAAAGAATATAGACAGACAACACGGCAAGTTCAGTAAAAGTGTGTAAAAATAAACTGCTTGATAGGCGAGCTCTCTTACCTGGTAGGAAATAATATGTATCTGTATTAACAATAAAGCAAACTTCAGAGCAGTAGTCTTTTCCTATTTAAAACAATCAACCGCATATGTTCCATGGGAGTGATTGTAACCAGCTGTCACACCACCACACTGTAAATATTTTCACACTTAAGCCGTCCCGAGAACACACACACACAACCGTACATAATTTAACAAGATCCAAATGTTGCTGTTTGTTCAAATTTCTTGTTTATTTTTGTTGTTTTTTTTTGTCTTGTTGTGCAACTCACAAACGTGTTTCCATCTTTTAACAAAAAATTTGCTCGGCACCTGCAACTTTGTCACTCTACTAAATACTTTATTGAATGCCATTAGGTGAGAAAACTCCGAGTCCCGTGGCATTTGGGCTACGTGCTTTTAGTTTTACAGACTCCTGTTGGTTTTTTTTACGGTGCAAAGTGCATTCAAATGCCACGACTGGCACACACAACAGCACTGCGAGTTCTTTGGCCTATGCGAGAATACAGTTTGGACCTTGGGCTCAGCATCCGTTGTGCTGGAGAACAAAACACATGCTCTGATTCAGTGGTATAAGATGCTGAACTGAGAAAAGTTAATCTTAAAAAAAAACACGATTGAGCCATCAGTTTTCTATTGCCCGAATGCAGCAATGCCGACAATCGGGAAGTAGAAAACTGATACACTGGTGTCAGAACAGAGGGTTTTGTTGTCATTGGAAAACCTAACACTCAACCATTCATACAATGCAACAGTCTGCAAGAGTTGAACGCCCCTTATCAGTGACCATGTTATTTATCAATGTCATTCTCTTTGGAAATACTCAACCACAGTTTTTATGTTCTGCTTCAGCATTAAGGTGAACTGATTTTGGTATTTAATGAAAGGCTTCATTCCAAATCAGGTGCGAGGCCATCAAGACAATTTTTTTTCAAGATCTGGGGGTAGTGCAGTTCGAATGCCAATGATCGGGTGTAACATGGCACAGGACAATACAATATAACAAATGGAATACTACACATGTACAAATAAGGTTGTGGCCTGCGACGGAACTGCAATGTCAGAATTTAGGAAAAGGAATGCTAGTTTCTTTCAGTGTTAATTGTCAGGTCCACATGTTTCACAATCGGGGCCAATTAATGAGGGTTAAGGGAAGCTCTCAAAGGCCAGTTACCGCACGTCAAACTTCAAAACACACGCAGCTGCTTCATCGCGGAGGCCCATGCTCCTTGCCGACACTGATTAATCTGTAGCAGATGCAATGCTGCGAGTGCTAAAACTGAAATAAATTTTGCACGCTCTGCCAAATACTGTAAATTCATTTTTCAAGATTCTGAAACACCTTGCTTAAAACATTCTTGCCGTGTCTGAAAACTCAAATTTCTCGGCACACAAGCTGCCCAAAACTTGGCACAGTTGGGCCGTGTGTGACCATCCACTTTTGGAATTCACTTGAATTAGTTGAAATCTACAGAAGGGATATCCATTTACAAAAATGTGTTGACTTTGGAACATCTAGAACTAGGCAACAAGCAGTGGCTATTTCATCAACGTTGGCAACATTTACTTATTTTCAAAAAAGAGTGGGGTCTCTTAGCTGAAAAAAGTATTTTTAATTTGTGGGAATTAATCTAGACATCAGCTGCAAAAATCCACCCTTAACTGCCACCCAGATGTCCTACTTTTACTGCCAACTTGCACTCCATGTAAATCTTTATAATCCCAATAAACTATTCACCGTGCAGCAATGTAGGATATTCAGACGTACCTCGTAAAATGCTTGCTAAGAACACAGCGGTTCGTCCCCCTTTTAAAGTTCCAAGAACAAACTCTTTGCAAAGGTATATAGTGGCTATAGGCCTGGTAAATAACCAAATGTAGACAATGATTCCACTGGACTGTTATCGGACACCCTGCAGCCCCTGCTCAGGCCAAACTGCATGAAGGCCCTCCCCCCTTTCCTAGGCTGTAAACCATACATCCACCGGGTCCTATTAAACAATGTTTACAGCTTCCAATGTTATCCTAAGTTAGCAAATACGAGAACATACTGTTCCCCAGAAGCCCTTTCATGTTTCTGATTTGCAGGAACACTTAATAAAAAGGTTTATGTATGCTTTTTCACACTCAAACACAAACACCGTTCTTCACCGATCGTGTCAAGTCAATTTAATCTCAGAGTGTCTCTCCGCGCATATCATGAGTGCGCGTCCATTAAGTAGTAAGGTTTACGTGATAAACCTTACCGGTTAGCTGTGTCGGGTGGTGGCGGATTAACGACACATTTACACATAAACGATCTCACCCAAAAATCTTTATAAATGAATAATATTGGCCACGAAAGTCTACGTGTCAAACTGCTATAACTTTGATCGACACCAGACAAACGATAGTCTGGGTTGTCCCCCAGCGGCAATTTGAGCTCCCCCCACACGAGCCAGCTCCAAGCACAGCACCAGAGTTTTTCTGAACCTAAAACTGTATATACCCCCTCCCCACCAACATGGCTTAATACAGGGGCACCATAGTGGCGAGATCTTAACTACCTCGCCTGGTATGGCGGAGGTGGTGGATTTGATCCGACCCGGATGCCTGTATATTGGGAGTTGGTATTTCTCCTCCGTGATCGCATGGATCTTTTTTCCGGGTCCTCCTGTTTTTCCCTCAACATTTAGAAACATGCATTTAGAGTATTTGGCTGCTATACATTTCCACTTGATAAGCCACTTCGTTGAGCTATCATTTGTGGCCAGGTCACTTCTAAAAGAGAGCTATATAGCTCAATGGGCCTTACCTGGTAAAATAAAAAAAATGTTTTCATTGCTAATGTGTCTGACGAAACTCAAATGACCCCCCGACAAGACTCCTTAGCAAGACAGCCGAGCAAGTAAAAAAAACCCTGGCATAGATAATGCTTGTTAATGTGGAGTTGTAGCTTCCGTTAATTATATGTGTGTTCGGCACGCTGACATGTTTAACAACATCAGCAGCACCTTGCCATTACCTGTTTTGCGGAGTGAAAAGGGGGGGGGGGGGGCTCAATTTGTAATTCATTCAGGCAGCCCATTTTCACAGCACGGGAGGATCATATCCATTTCATCCGTTGACATTACATAACCACAGGCCTGCCGACTCCAAATCTCTAAATTACAGGCTTGCATGGATATCCAATAAACAGACGTAAAGATCATCGCAAACCTGTTTCACCACAAAGACACGTCCTGGAAATTGCAGACAGAACTAAAATAAACTATTAAGGTACTCGATGTGCAGGTGGAAGGTTTTTTTTTGCCAGTCTTATCCTCTCGAAACCGGTATTAGTTACATGAATTCATTCCACACGAGTGTTGTTGCATAAGGTTCGGAGTAGCATAAGTGTTTTTTTGTATCTACTTACATTGGTTCAGGGTAATATGATGTATATTTTCTAATGAAAACATTTTATAAAGTGTTTAATTAGTTCCATAATTGTACAATTTTGCTGGACCGCAATTAATATGTTCATAGAGGCTGTTTGTCTCGAACTGCAGGCATTGAACAAGATCAAAGTCAACACCTCTAGAGTCTTGCTTGCTTAAATGTCGGTGAAATTAAGGTTGCTAGACCAATAGCACTTTATTTCATGGTGGTGTATGTTTATTTAATTTACAGACATTTAAATATTCAGTTTGGCATTCACCTAACCAAGTGAATTACTGCACAGGTTCACTGAAGTAGCAACACTTCAATGCCACGTGTATGTGTGATGCACAAGACGAGCAATTTAGACGCAACAATATGTTAAACGAGACGCACGCAATAATAATAATAATAGGGTTTTCCCCCTTTTTTCTGGCAACAAAACTGAAACCTTTTTACAAGGATTCATGTCTGCATTAACCACAATATGTGCAGTCAAAATTCAAACAAAAAACACACTATGATAATATATGCATTGTCCTTGCAACTGATTGGTCCACACCAAGGCACGGCTTTCTTTTGAGCCTCGACCCAATTGGTGCTCGACCAGAGGACGCCAAAAGGCGGACCAATCAGTTTCAAGGACAATGCATATATTATCATAGTATGTCTTTTGTTTGCATTTTGACTGCAAGTATTGTGGTTAATGCAGACATGAATCCTCGTAAAAAGGTTTCAGTTTTGTTGCCAGAAAAAAGGGGAAAACCCCTATTATTATATTTTGGTACCGGCAAAGGAGGTCTAATGATGGAGAAGCATTCACTTACAGCGAGAGCGTGGTGACGCTGCCTGTTGCACTTCCGAGGTCGGGCACTTCCAAGAGATGGTTGTGATTCAACTTCCTGCAATGGACAATTTCAACAAGGCACATTTAGCCGTAAGTTTGTGCTCCGGCAACGACAGAAAAACCTCAAGATCAAATATTAATGCAATTAAAGCGCTGCGTTTTGTTTTGCAAGTGAGCACCAACAGTAATTATGGAACCTGGCAACTGACTAGCAATTGAATGTTCAGCTGCAATAATAAACCACTGTGGTGTTTACCAAATGAGCGTTGTTATATCTAGAAAGCCAGTATATGTGTGTATATATATAAAAAACATGTGTGTGCATGTGTGTGGGTAAGGATTGAGAAAGAAAACATTTCAGCCATTCATGAATAGAGCATGGTCTAATTAAAACCGATCACATTGTAAGTATCAAGCGGAGCGCATGACCAATGTCAAATGCATATAATACATTACTCTAAAACACAACACTGTTCATTGGTTGAAGATCAAATCGGTATGCACATTGTTTGCCAAGGTTACATTTCACAATAATATATATTTTTTGGGAAAATTCACATTTTTGTTTTAATAATAATCGAAATGTCACGTTTACTTAACTTTTTGGATTTAAGCTAAAACTAAACTATTTTTTATTTTACCAGGTAAGGCCCACTGAGCTACATAGCTCTTTGAGAAGCGACCTTGGACACAAATGACAGCTCAACAAAGTGGCTTATCACGTGGAAATTTATCGCAGCCAAATACTCTAAACTGAAATCTTACATTCACAACACTCAAAACTCATTAACCTGTAAACGTGATAATCGCTTATTATGGCTTATGAAAATTCCATGCAAGTGAATGCAAACGTGACATTCAGGCTAGTTGAACGATAAAAGTGCAAGGCAGAAAATACCAAAAACCAGTACAAACAAAACGACCACATTGTTGAATCGTGACTCTGATCATCGAATCGCAAGGGTTGGAGGAATGAGTGTATCGTTACACGCTTATTATTTACTACGCGAACGCTGCGGCAGTACGGAGGCAAGCGACGCAAACCCACTGAGCAGAGCAAGGGCTTCGGGGCTCCCGATTCCGCTCTCTCCTCTCTGCAGGCTCACACACCACCCACCGTGGGCCCCCTCACTTAGCATTCACACAGCTGTCCCGCCTGTCTCACGAGAGCCAGTGGGGGGGGGGAAGGGGGGGTTACCATGCTCAAATGAACGCCCCCTTTCCCCCCGGCTGCCTTTCCCCTCCTTCCCCTTCCTGCCCCGTCTGCTTGGGCCCCATTCAAACTCCTCCCCGCTGGCTTGAAGTCAAAATGGGAGCACGGCGCCGTTGCGTTTCACCGCTGCCGATTATGAATGGATGGTCGATGCGCGCTACAGTGCACGAATCTCAATGGGCTTCAAGCTGGTTTTCACATGCATACAACACATATGCAGCGCCTATGACCAAATCACCCGAATGCACCCCCCCATCTCATGAGATTTTGGAAGCCGAGCAGATTTCGACCTGGGTTGTTGCTCGGATGGGTGACCACCAGTACATAGCAGAGGTGTTACGGGCTGCGGCGCTATGTGGTGGTTCAGCAGCAAGTAGTGCAACAATATCGAATGATGGAACTGCACTTTACACTCCCGCGTCTATGTTCCCTATCTTCACCAATCCACAATGCCTAGCATGGTGACGTACAATCATATAACCACCACGACCCGCATGGCATGGGAAGATCCTCATTGCAGCATGCAGCAGTGGAGGATTGACAAATGGCTCTACATGCCGATCCATATTCAACTGTGGTTTCCACGATCGTACGTGTGCATTGACTGAACGACTTCTGGATCGACTACACAATGATACTGGGAATGTATTTTTGTCGAAATCTGAAAGCTATACAACCTTGGAATGCCACGCGCATTGAGCAACTGCGTTCAATTTAAATTGCATCCAAAGTGGTCACAAAGCCTTTGTGGTTTGATTTTTTTTCTGGTGATTTCTCTTCAGAGCGTGTACAACTTTCGCTCTTTGGGGTAAAAGCTTGGCATGGGCATCAATTGTAAAGTCAGAGCGATTCCTTGTTCAAACGGGGCATTGAGGCATGGTGCTCATCTCCTGTTACCAGCCCTGAGCCACTGGTGCAAATTCCACATTTTTATGGCAGGGGCGAGCCCCCACACATCGGTATGCATCGTATCGAGCCCAGAAGGATGGTGAGTTGAGTCAACCCCCAACCAGGATTTGAATTTGCAACATTCCAATTGCGAGCCACTCGCTTTACCCCCACGCCACCTCAACTAAACTTAACGATTTTAATTTCACCAGGTAAGGTCCACGGAGCTATATATCTTTTTATCAGAAGCCACCTGGCCACAAATCAGAGCCCAACGAAGTGGCTTATCATGTGAAAAAATGTATAACAACCAAACAACTATAAACGCACGTTGATTCTATTTGTGGAGGGAAAACCGGAGGAACCTGAGAAAAATGTAAGTGACCACGGGGAGAAAATGCGAACTTCAAATATACAGCAGTAGGCGTCAGGGATGGGAACGAACCCACGACATCCTGTATACCAGGCGAGGTAGTTAGTTAACATCGCCACCGTGGCACCTGTCTGGTGTAACACTGTACGGCATCAAGACTTAACGTGATACTCCCGCGCGGGTTCACTGTAACCATGTAACGATGCGTTGACTAACACCGCCATCGATCGAGCGACAATTCTTCCCGCCAAAGTGGAAAATCATTTGACGAGCTGCACGCTCGGGGAGCTGTGTGTCGCGCACACACACACACACACGTTGGCCGGGTCGATGTTTGAAGGCACAAGAGGAGGCAGAGGGCAAGTGGCAGGAACAGTCGCTCAATAGGAGCAATGCCGATTCGTCACCCCATTTGCGCGATCCGTCCATTCCATAAAGGTGGGCGCCGATTGGCTAAGCGACCACATGGGAGCATCGGCGTGCACGAGTGAATCAATTCTGAATGCTCTGCTGCTGCTCAAGGCAACAACGGGACGGAGGCAGACGGGCGGACAAACCGTGTGTACGTCGCGACCCACGCTAATAGGCTGTAGCTAAAACTAAACTATTTATTTTTATTTAACTCGGTAAGGTCCACCGAGCTGTATAGTGACGTGGCCACAAATGATAGCTTAACGAAGTGGCTTATCATCACGTGAAAATTTATAGCAGTCAAGTAATCTAAACAGAAATATTACGTTCACAAGACTCAAAATTCATTAACCTGTAAACATAATAATCGCTTATTATGGATTAAACAAATGAATGCAAATGTTACATTCAGGCTATTTGAAAGTGAAAAGTACAAATCAGAAAATACCAAAAACCAGTACAAACAAAACGACCAAATTGTTTAATCGAATTGTGACTGATCATGACAATTCATCGAATCGTAAGGGTTGGAGAGGTGGGGGTGTATCGTTACAGGCCAAATACTCTAAACGCACGTCGATTCTAAATGTGGAGGGAAAAACCAGAGGACCCGGACAAAAATCCACACGATCACGAGGAGCGAGAGAGAGAGACACACACGCAAACTCCAAATATACAGCAGGCGTCAGGGTCGGGATCGAACCCATGACCTCCTGCTGCTGCTGCTTCCCCCAACAGTCGTCGTGTTTCAAGTGCCCGATATAGACCCGTGATTGGATGGCTCTAACGCGCGCGCGCGAATCTCCATGCATAAATCATGACTGATATATTGAAGCACGATCGATACGTACACTTCGTGTAGGTTTACGAGGCCATCCAAAGCTTCGGGATTTACGGTCGTTAGCTGGTTGTAACTCAAGTCCCTGCAAGAGAAAAATCAATATACATTACAGTTAGCGCGATCATGTCAAACAAATAAAACATTACATTTTGACGCTTTTTTGTTTAAAACTGTTAGCGGTGCACAGCCCGCTTACCATTATTGCTGGCACACCACCGCTTGTTTATTTTCCCAATTTAAATGTAAATAAATTACGCTGACCTAAACAATAACGCACTTTGGGCGCATTTGAAACGGTAAATTACATTTAAATGCTACTGTAAACAGCTACCGAAAGTTTAATGATTTATTTAAACAAGGCTCATTCAATAGGCAGAGCACAATCAAGTGTTTTTGGAAGTGGGTAACAATAACTTACGACGAAAAAAACAAGGCCCTTCATTTACCCAGGAGAGCTTAACAAAGTCCAAATATTATTTTTCAGGAGAGTCCTGCATTTAAGATGTTGGGCAAAATCCCATTAAAGAGCAATATGTGATGACTCCGAGTTACTCAGAGAAAACCCACACAGTCACGAAGGAACCACACTCGCAGCTTCCCCAGTTAGAATCAAACTCATCGCGGTACTGCCATCGCGTCCATTAAATTAATTAGACAACAGGTGGAGAACGGTGGTCCTACAGTAGAACAACTCTGACGAAGAGACCATCGCCTGAAACCACGTATACAGATATTTCCATTGTACGGCAATGATAATTCGGGATGTGGTATTTCTGGCTACAGATGTAGGCAGTCCCTTCAAAAATGTTATTTCAGTGCAACTTTTAGTTCCTACAGAACCAGGTGTGAGGTGCTCATCCCCCACCCTCGCCCCACCAGGAGATGCAATCCCTAGTGCAAGACAGACCTGACTAAACTATAAGGAACAATAACTCGATGTTCAATATTAAAACTGAACACAGCTTGTTTCACAGCTGAGGATTGTGTTTTCAAATAACCAAGCGGTGCTATTAATAAGTGGGTCAAAATGCACTTTCTGGAATGCCAACAATAAGTAAGGGTCTGATTAGTTGTTTTTTTGCACAGGCATAAACATTGGGTTGTGCTCGCAGTGTTTTCCCCAAGTCAGAAAACAAAAAACTTCCTTGGCCAAACTTTGTCTGTGACAGCCAATTCCCAATTGGGGATTGGGCGTCCCGTGGCAGGCGTGCGTCAAAGTATAAAGCAAACAGGATAACAAAATAAAATAAAGTCCAACTCAAGCAAAAAAAAATCTCAGAGTCAAGCAATTAAGGTTTTTTTTCAGCAGCCAGCAGATAGCATCAACGACTTCCTTCCACTGTGTAATCTTTATTGGCAAACCACAGCACTTCTCTCAATAGCAGAATACCCTTTTAAACCCCCCCCCCCCACACTTCTGCAAACACTAGCTACATTCACACCCTTCTGGACACAGACCTTGCAGTTATAACTTGAACCAATACAATGAGCAGAAGCACAAAGGTGCTTGTAAATGTTGTGCCCGATAAAGGACTGCACTTTGGTACCTATCTAAACACCGACAGCTTTGTGTTCTTCTTAAGGTGAGTAAGTTACCCTCACAGCCAGTACCGTATATTTATCTCGGCGCATAAACGACTACACAAGATAAACGCGGAGTGCATGTGGGCCCACGAGATAGATTGCAAAGCCACGTGGAGACAATAGCTCTGACATGGAAAAAACAAGGTGGGGCGCCATATGTGAAGCGCATCTATTCCAAAGAGTGAAATGAAGCTTCCATTAACCAATGCCAAACGTACAGACGAGTTTACGGTTCGGTTATGACTACACTGAGGACAAGGTTACTGCCAGGAAGAGGAAAGGTTGAGTGCCACCTCTTTGCGAGAAAGCAACAGTTGTCCAATAGTGACTCATCGTCCCCATTGTAGAAATGTAAATTCTCTAGCAGGAGCTCAGGAGAGACATTGGACCGCTCAGTGTCCATTGGAATGGGAAACCACTTAAGACCACTGACTATTGGCTGTAAATTAGAGTAATGATACAGTTCGAGCAAGTCCAGTCGATATATACTATAAGGGATACGGTTATCGTTAAAAATAAGGTTTAATTCATTGCCCTTTATTTAGCCAGCTGAAAACTCATTGAGATTCATGACTTGCTATACAAGAGATGGATAATTGTAGTAGCTCAAACGCGGTTCGACGGGCCAAATACCCTCCACTGTTATTTCTTTACTGCACAACAGAAAGGGCGTACGAAAAAAAAATATTGCCATGTTTAGCGGTAGCATATAACTACGTACAGAATGCAACCCGCGCTGGTCAATTCTTGGCTGGCGACCAGGCGTCTGTTTATGCAGGTGGCAGAGCACACTTGCACAAATCCATCTTCGCCAAATTCCCCCTACGTACGTAGGAGCCACAGCCGGAGCTAAGACAAACGAATGAGTTCATTCATTCCTGAGCAGCCCGGGACACAGCTTCCACGATTTCTTTGCCGCTGCCGGCGTTATCAAAGTTAACCATCGATTGCAGTTTTTTAGTACGGAAAAGCTCTCGGGTAGCCGTGAACAATTTGCAAGCTGGCAATTGCTGCGAAGCACTGTGGAAACCGCAGGGCTCGTTTCTCTCACGATGTCAACCAACCAGAAAAGGCCCCCAACAACCCTGCCAGATTAGAAGTCAGCCCGGCTCTTGCGGTCTATTTGAAGTGCATTATGCATCAGTGGGGACTGACCGACAGAACGCGTGTGAATGTGGGCAATGGGAATGGCAGTGCAGAAAATCTATCCCATGAATCCTCGGCCAGCAATGGCCCACACACCACAGGAACCGGGTCCGTATGCAAAACCTTTAAGACAAAGCTCATGCATCAGCAAGCTCTCGAGTGCAACAAGCTGGAAAACCATAATAATGAAGGTTGCCCCGAAACTTTGTCATGTGATTTCACTGTACAAAAACAAAATACGTTCACAGACGTTCGAACACTACATTGGTGCCGATCGTGTTAAACCGGCTAATACGTTGCAATAAATTATTGAAATGTCTTTAAATAATCGGTCAATCAATTGGGCCAGCAAGACAGTGAAAAGAGATTGCAAGGAGGATATCGTCAATAACGGTGTATATCTACTTAAGCCTTGTGTGTGGAAGCTGCTAATTTAAGTAAATTATGTGAAAATTGCACGCAATTTTTTTATTACATTAAATGGTGCAATACCGATAAATAGATTAATTGATTTATTTCAATAATCGGTAACTGCAGCGCTTCACTGTATAAAGCCGCCAGGCTGTGTTTTAACAGTGCCAAGCGGCCTCAAACTGAAAACACTCGAGCAATCTCCTCCATAAGAATGAGCAATCTCAATAACGCCACTGCAATCCTAATTAATTACAGCCTGTTGCTCGCTTTTCAAAGGTCACGACAAAAGCTTTGCAAGTTCAGCACAAGTTAACTTCCCCAAGTCTTTGTTCTGCCTACAACGCAATCCGAGAGCCGCACACACAAAAAAAACAATGCCGCTCAGCAGTTTTTTTAAACTACTGTCTTCGGGGGCTCTCCTTACAAGGTCACTGAGCCAGAGCAGCTTGCAATGATATAACTGGGGCAACCCTGTTTTCAAATGCGCCAACCCTCCACCAATAAAAATGCCCTTACAAATAAATGTTTTAAACAGAAAGAAATACACTATTCCCATGTTTCTACAAAAAGTTTTAAGTGCGCCAGATCCAGGCCTGTGCCAAAACCATTCCGAGTGGGCGGACTTGAGTCCCAGAGTTGTCCCTCGCTCACCCCCCCCACCCCTTCCCTCTTCGCATTTTCACTCTTCCTTCGCCCCAAGTACACCCTAGTGTCCGACCCCAGAAAGGTGGGCCCATTTGCCAGGCAGAAATCTAGGTGACGACAGACAGATTGGGCAATGGTTGGGAAGCCGTGCCTTAACAAATACTCTTTAATGAAACCATAGTTTAGGTGAGACTGAGATACATTGTAGTCAACATCATGCGTGATATCTTGCCATGTTGATTTAATGTGAGGAAAAGGCAGTTGTAAGCCATGGAGATGGATAAGGACAGGAACCTGCAGTGGCAACCGAGAGGTCAGCAAAAACAAGGGGACGCCTAAAGGAGGTGGTGGATGAAACTGAGAGCAGAATTTTCCAGGACGAGTGTTGCCTTTGTTACCATGGGATGGCAAGTTGCATTGGCATTCATTGCATTAACCTTAATGGCCTCTTCTCTCTTGTTACAAACATGGTCAGGTGGGTGAAGAAAGGTACAGTCACCTCGTGACATCACAAATGGTTCTGAGATTGGCCCGATTAATTTCTCTCCGACGTACATCGCAAGCAAACGCTTCAGTATGCATTGGTCATAGATCAGGCATGGGGATATGTTCAAATGTCCACCGAGATGCCATAGGGAACACCGGCTCTGTTTCAGCCAAGTCTGACAATTCGGAGGGATCATGAAAGCAAACCGGAAAAAAAAAGACTCAAACCCTAAATATTTCAAATGAAGTCGTCTTCAGACCACGCATGTTTTCTTTACAACAAAGGCTCCAACTAAGCCTTCTTAGCGCAACAGCGCCAATGGATTGACGAGCGAGCCATCGATTTGGTCAAGCGGCACGACACAGGTGAGCAACGAAGCACGGGTATCGATCCCGCAAAAAGGGGGTGGGGGAGGGGGGGAGCCGCCGCGGAATCTTTGAAGTTGGCGAGCGAAACCGGACATTGGGGCTCAACAACCGCACGCTTTGTGAGCGCTGCAGCGATGGGCACGCAACTGCATCTCTGCGCCCCGGATTGGGTTTCGACCCGAGGGGAGGCGATCCCGCTAACCTCCACGCGGCGTAGGCCAGCCCACCCGCCATTTAAACGCGGCACAACGAATGCCCTGACTTTCGCTGTGCCTTGGCGGTGGTGGTCAGGTGACAAGGGCTGGGGGAGATGGACAATAAGCCGTTGATTGGATCGCCGACGTTGAGGTCTCGGCAGTTCACCCGCAATCCGCACGCAGTTCCTGAGCTGTCAACAACTTAAAGTTCACGAGTTGCCATGCTCTTACGAAGAGTGAA